GTTAGGTCACATGTGGTCATGGCTGCAACGTTCCTTTCATCACTGTCAGTACTCGGAGAATATATAGAACATCCCGAAACCCCCGAAAACCCAAACTTCGAATCATGGATAACGTTACAAATTACATATATTCCTTTCATCACTGTCAGTACTCGGAGAATATATAGAACATCCCGAAACCCCGGAAACCCCAAACTTGGAATTATGGATAACGTTACAAATTACTTATATTTCTGAAAAGCAGAATAAATACCAATCCATCCCTCCAAGAAACCCCGTGTTCGGACGCACCAAGAATCCGGTTAAGCTTATTTCGTGGATTCAGACTCTGGAATCCGATTTTATGTGTTCGATTGACAAGAATATAAACCATCGATTTTGATCCTAAGATATCCACATTTTACCGAAATATGCGAATATTTGGCGTCATTGAACACACCTTAACGTAATAACCAATTTATGATCACTTTTTCGGAGTAGTCACCGTAGAGTTTGCATACCTCCGCTCACATGAAGGCTTTCACATTTTGTGAATCTTAACAACCGAACATATAGCTTTCACTTCATACCGGTAATAGAATTATTACATTTCAAGATGTACTGTACTTATAATACAAAAATTCGACTTTCCAAGCAAATTTACTCTATTTTTGAAGACCAATTTATGAGCACTGTTTTAACCTTGAAATGCGCATGCCTCTGTGCATACGGCTAGGGTATTCATTATGATCAGGTTAAGTATAATTTTACAAGGTTATGGATTTATTGTAGTCTCGGTTGCTGAGTGCCAGTAACTGCGCATCGGGCTGATCGGTTTACTTTGGCCCATGTCGTGTGACTTTTAAAGTGGCTGCCTCAAATATAGCATCCAAGTTGACCAACTACAGTTAACGTAAATGACCATTTTATGATCACTCCCTGTGAGCCAATCACATCGCTTTACTAGAAAGCCTCCAACAGATTCTACAGCTTGACAAAGCTTGTGAACTCGATACGTTACACACGATAACCATGCAGAATCATCAGGTTCTCATGGATAGTATGCATGCTTAACAGGGAACTCACAGGTGTCGAAGACGACACAGACCTACCGTATTCCCCATCTACCTGTACCCAAGCATGTTCCTTACCCAATGCTTTCACGCCCTAACGCCATGACGTATCATAGAGGTCGCTATAATATATTCATCGAGTTATTTACTTGTAAAGTAGGTTATATTTAGGCTTTTGGCTACTTTGAGGACTCATCACTCATGCTACAATGTTGAAATCGACGCATTTTTAGCTGTTTCCTTTCTTAGATAGCGAAGAAAGTTGATCATATACGTATAAATCATGACCAACTTCAAGTCATATTTGAGGTTATGTTTTATTATTATATTAATTGGTTCTTAAAAATTCTTACAATTCAATGTCAAAACCATTAAAGTCACCGAACAGTTTTGAGCTGGAGTCACTACTCCATGCGTTCCAGGTTGTTGCGGTTATCGAAAGGCCAATCGAAAGTCCTCAGCCCCTAGTGTGTATATCAGATATGATAAGACCTAGTGCGATCGAGCTGCGTGATATGCTGCCAATTCATTTGAGTTTCGCTGTTTTGGTCATTTTCCCGCACCCTCCAGGCAACGTTTTGTGTGTTATAGTAGCTATGACTCAGAAACAGCAGCAACCTATTTTAGTTCACTGGAAGAGTGACCACGATAGACTCTACCGGGGGCGACACGGTGGTCGTAGCAATCGGAGTTAGTTGTATTATCAGTTCTGCTTCGATTTGATTGTCCTGGAGGGATGCCAGCACCATGGCCAGCTGTCGTTGGTGCGGTCGAATCGACTGGAATTGTCTCGTAGTTGCTGCAAAATGGACAAAATCTACATGTGCGAAGGCACGCTTCACGACAACTTGGGTTTATGTGCAGACTTTCAAATTTATACTGGCCCAATCGCGGGGTTTCATCCAGACCATCATGCGTGTAAAGTAGATGCATTTAATCTACCCCTGATGTTGTAGCTGTATGCATGACAAAATGAGTTGCACGCATTTTTAATTAAACGCAATCGTCTATTATGCACAGGTGGACTCTACTTATCCGTGATCGTAGCAATCACGTCTAGATGAGTTTACTGTTTTCCGCACCAGGTCCCTTGAAAGTCCGTGAACGCGGTACATTCAGCTTGACCGAACTCCGGTAAACATAAATTGATCAGACGAGAATAGCAACCAGTGCAGTCATTGCACACGGATGGTGGGGAAGGCGTCACAGGCGAAGTAGGGAACGGATGGCTGGTAGTGGTGGCAGGGGTCGACGGATCTGACGTGCTGGGCTTCGACGGCGATGGGGACGACGTCATAGGAAAAGAAGGGAACGGACGGCGGGTACTGGTGGCGGGGGTCGACGGATCTGACGTGCTGGGCTTCGACGGCGATGGGGCAGAGGTGCTGGAGGATGGGGGGTTGATTCCACCTCCAATTGCGCTAGCGACGTTGATGCGTCCAAACCCGTAGTTGTTGTTGGGGTACTTGGAATCCGACACCCCCCCACAGTTCTCGTTTTTTGGAGTCAATGTGGCAGTGTCGACAGTGGTCGTGAACGCTCTGTACACTTGATCGTACTTGGCGCCCTTGTTCGCATTCAAGTAGAGGGCAATGGCACCAGTGACATGAGGAGACGCCATGGATGTGCCCGAGATGGTTTGGTAGGCCGAATTGCCAGTGTGCCATGCCGAACGAACTCGCGTCCCAGGAGCCGACACATCGGGCTTGATTCGACCGTCTGCGGTTGGCCCGCGACTGCTTGAAGGCGACAGCTTGTCGTCGAACCCCAGGTTACCCACTCCAATGACATTCTGGTAATTAGCTGGAGTCCACGTTGTTGAGCATTGAGGACCAGAGTTGCCGTTGCAAAACACGGGGATGATGTCAGCAGCGCGCCACGCGTTCACGGCGGCTTGGTACCAGTTGGAGTTAAACTTGCCACCCCAGCTGTTGTTGATGACGTCAGGCGCCAACTCGCACTTGGGGTTTTTGCCGGTCACATCCGTCGGGCACAACATCCATTGCGCACATCCAATCAGCGCCGCTTCAGAGCAATACGCGGTGGTGGTGCACCCGCGGCAAGCTATCCACGTGGCACCTGGAGCTACGCCGATGCCGTTTTGGCCAACAGCTGAACCTGCGACGTGGGTGCCATGGCCGCTACGGTCGATGGGTGTGGGGGTCTTGTCGGTGGGGTCGAACCAGCCGTAGGTGGATCGCCAGTTGCCCTTCAAGACGTCGTGGGTGTGGATGGCGCCAGTGTCCAGAATTCCCACCACCACACCTTCGCCACGGTTGCCATTAGCCCACACCGCAGGGGCACTGATGAGGTTGACACCCCATTCGTTTGCGGCGCGCGTGGAGGTTGAGTTGTTGTCAGCCCATCCTTGAGGAATCCCCACATCAGTGTCGTCGTCGTCGAAGCTGACGGGACTGAGTTGCGCCGTGACAGGTTGTCGAATGTGAGCCACGTTGTCCAACTTGGCGAGTTCGTCCAACACGAGGCGGTTGGCGCCGTACACGTGCATGTTGCCGTTGATGTAGAAGCTCTCTACGCGGGTCGTGAAGGATTTGGGCTGCAACGACAGCAGTTCCACCGCCGCGCGCTGGGACGTCTTCATGTTGCTCTCCAAGAGGGAGCGCACATGGGCGATGCTGGAGCCGCGATCCTTAAAGCTAGACCGCTTAAGACGGGCGGTTTCCAGGGCGCGCTGGTTGCCTCCTTTGAATTCAATCACAACGTCCACGTGCTCATTGGATTCCAAGTGGCGGTGGACACTGGGGGCGATTTTGGCCGTGGCGAGAGCGGCAAATGCCGCGATAAAAGTAAGCTTCACCATGATGCAGTTGTTTGCAAATTGAAGTGTGTCAAGGTTGTCGTGAACCGATAAGGAAACAAAATAGATACGCATTGTTAGACAGACAGTCTGTTATTTTGAATACGAGTGACATTTCCCAGCATGTGATCATCTGATTTCGGGTTTGGATGATTTACTCCATGTATCCAAAGTCTGAACCCTCCGCCTCCTGTTCCGTACTTGCTTTGAGTAGGCCTTGAGTATACGTATAGGTCGAGCTCAATGTGTGAGCAAAAGGTTCGGCGATTAGAACAACATCACCCACTGGTATCAGGGCTAGGGGGCCAAGTGACTCGTGATGTCTGAGTTGGGTTGGACGCATGGTCATTCCGTAAGTAGAAACTCTGAAATCGAGGGTACCTATATGACCACTATCGGGCACTGTACCTTGGAATACTCCAGCGCATTTGTGTGTTGAACCCGTCGACATCCTAATCAGACTACTAGTACTGTAGAGTGAACGAGGTGAATTTAAGCCACACCGAAGTTCGTCTCAATATTGCTGTACTGTATAGATACAATCAGAATCCTGCACTACTATTTCAAACTAGTTGGTTTGATTTATCAAAAAAACGAAGATGGCCAATCAGACTTCAACGTTTATATTCTACTTCGATTCAAAGTGTGGCTTAAATTCCTTCGTCCACTGTACTAAAGCTATCTAAAGCACATCTTGCACACGATATTGACAATATCATCAGCCTTCGATGGGGGACCAATTTTCAAAATACTGGTATGTACATATCTATGGAGTATGTATATGCGGCGATGGCATACAAAGCCGGAGTCTGTTAGGACTTATTGTCACTGTCAATAAATCTGGATCCCGTTCAGCCAAGACTGAGAACCGTTCAATCTAATAAACTCTAGTTAGATGAGGCATAGGTTTTGATACTTTGACCACCTCAACTTACTAGGGGTTAATCGTATCTCAGTGGTTATAGCGATACCTAACCACTGGTGATGCTTTTTACCCTGGGGATTTAGAAGCATGTGCACGCGCGGGGGTAGGACGAAGCCCTGGGGTTACAGGGTATTACGGGAAGAAAATTTGTTGAGATAATTCTACTTTGTAGGCAAAACTGGCTCTATTGTGCGTCTTTGTAGGCAAAGCAGAGCCAGTTCGTACTGTTGCACAGCCTGCGCTATCTGATTCGTGGCCAGAACAGTGTGTATGTGCCAAGCAGCTTCCTCTGCGAGTGGATATGTGATCTGATTGTTTTGTAAAGTACTGTAGACGCACGCTCCTTACTACGTCGAAGTAGTAATTTCAACGGAAGCACGAACTACAGTATAGTAAGCTAACGTTAGGCATTCTACCAGAAGCTACCGGTAGATAAGCTAGTTAATTTTGCTTTGGCCAAATCATGATGATGAGGCATGCGTTGAAATGGTAGTGGAAAATCAGTCGTGTCGACGGGTTAGCCCTTCTTTTGGCTAACCCATTGACGCAATTGACATGCATTCCTTGAATTGGTAGTACAGTAGATATTCGATAAATGTTTGCCTCGCAAACAAGTCAACATGCAAATGCCTCACCATTGCATTCACAAATCCAATTACATGTGACTGTGAATAGCCGTGCACACTCTCCTGTGGGAGGTGTCGACACAAATGCCAATATCAATCGTTGGGACAACTACGCGTAGCTAGCTAGCTCTTCGTGGGGTGGGGCTGGTACCCACGGCTTTATTACTGTACTACTGATAGAACTAGTATTGGTTGATGCGTGTGTGATGTAAATTGTTGTCACAGCTGGTGAATTACTGCATGAGTGATCGATTCCCTTGTTGGTGTACCTAAGGTCCTTAAGCGATGAGTCAACTTAGTTCATACTAGTGCCCCCCTAAATTTCATTGTCCCATATCCAACTGAGCTACCAGCACTACTAGTAGTACTGTAGATTGCACTAGTGTGGGGTGCGCTGGTTTCACTCCTTAAGTGAAGCTGCTAATTGTTGCGAGGGTGCGGTGGGAAATCTCACATTAACTACACTACGAAATACAGGGGGCAGCTGGAAACAACAAGGAAGGACATTTATGACGCCACTCGACTAATAACGGACGCAAAAGGAGGTGACCAAGTTTGTGGGTGCTGATACTTGGAACTTTATGCATCCAAACATTCGAACAATTGTACAAGACAGACACACAACCACAAGGTTAACGTTAAATTGGCATAGGTACACTACCCCCGCCTTCACTCAAATATCGCAAATGCTGTAATGATGCTTGGTTGCCACATCTGATAAAATATGATACGACTACGTACTGTAGTACTACCGGCAGTACTACTGTAGTACTTCGACGTACCATATGCGATAATAGCACTAATATAAACTTGCCTACAACTACGCACAATAGAGCCAGTTCTGCCTACAAAGTAGAATTATCTCAAATTTGCTTGTACGGTTCTCAGTCTCGGCTGAACGATATCCAGATTTTCTGAACGTTTTCCTGGATACTATTAATACTACGTAGTATTCGTAGGGTAAGTATTATTAATACTGACAGCGTGAAGAAATACTGTACAAAACGTATGTTTATTCGTAATAGACAGGTTAATTGACAGTTTGTTTACTGTTAAGACATTCCTCCGCGAGGGCCGATACTAGAACCACATGTTGTGGAACCGCTTCGCCAATTGTAACCCGCTTGCTCGGCCACGGGCGGTGTGTAAACTTCGGTTTTTACCTCGCTCAACGCTTCATACCTCGTGCTTCGACCGAGCTTCTTCAAAGTTCTGCGTACACAGCCCTTGTTATCCGTATTCCCCAGAAGAGGGACGGATAAATCCTTGCGGAAACAATCCGGGGAAGCCGGGGATCGAACCCACGCACGACCTTTGAGTTAAGAAACCGATGCTCTACCACTGAGCTATTTTCCCTCCCCTCGTAATAGAGAGGTTTCGGAACTCAACTTTACATTACTGTACACTCATCATCATTCAGGATTCCCGGTTTTTGCAGCTTGTATAAAAAAATATCCTGATCAACATTTATACTTACGCATCGTGAACAGGAGAGTGAAAAATCGGACTTGTGGCTGGAGCAACGGTTGATTGAAGGCACTGATAGTGATGTAGACCTTATTACAGTACCGGCGCAACAAAAGCGCCTTGTATGATTCATCGTGCCATAAATGCATGGGCGCATATTACGCCGGATGAATGTGTTTGCTTTTGGAAGGAGTACGGACAATACCTAATTTTCTGGAAAAAAGTCGACGAGCCCCCGACTCAAGCCCAGGGCTCACTCAAGACACACAATGTGCTTTACCACTGCGCTATCGCGTCAAACGCTTATCTTTATCGTCGATGAATCAACCCATTCAATAGAGTGATTTTGTACCAAGAATACACACGAATTTTCCAATACAATTTCCCTGAAAATCCTGTGGGGAATATCTTGTTGGTAATGTGCTTTTGCGGCCAATCATTTTCCGATATCCTGGAAATTTGAAGTACCATGTGTCCCCTTAAATTCCGTCGCGTCGCAGCCTGTATTGTTGTGTTTATTCTAAACTGGAGCGACATGGAGAATGAATCGACTGGGCAGAAGAATGATTTAGCCAATCAGATTGCAGGAAACCATTCAGGACACTTTTGAAGGCGATATTCAGTAGATTTGGCGATTCAGCACGAAAGTCCAAATTTTAGGTAAAAGGCCAATACAAACTATAGCCAATCCTGCGCAAGCAAAGAGTCTATCATTGTGTATCGAAAGGTGGTGGGAAATTTGCTGGCTTAATCTTAGGAAATGCACGCTACTAAACAATGTTAAGGAATTGCCGTATTTAGTTCCTAAATACCGGGTGCATGGCGTCACGAACTACACCCATAACCCATAACTTTTGGGTATATGGTGCACGTCATCTAGAACCTTCCACCTGGCAATATATATATATATTCCTAAATACTGGCAATATATATATATATATATATTGCCAGTATTTAGGAAAATATTTCAAAATATATATATCGAGAAAGTTCCACTCCTTTCCAAGGAAAGCTGGACATTTCTGTTTCACCAAAAACCCCAGCAGTTTGTGTTAATTTCGTGAGAGAGATTTTTTATTGACGTTTTGATTTATTCTTCAATTTTCCAAGGTGCCAAAAAGAGTCTGGGTTCGAAGGCGATGTGCTGGACATGGCGGGTGCTTTTAGCTTCCCTTTGCCTAGGCTGGCGGCTGTCCTCGTTGAGACTACGCCGCTAAGGATGGCAAAGAGAGCAAGGCGGGGCACAGGTTGATGACGGTTAAGGGCCATGAGACATACTGAAGTCCAGCCTTCCGTGTACGAGCTACCCCTAAGAAATGGTATCATGGTTGTCGATGCTTGTGGGACGCTGCAGTCAATGGTAAGACACTGATTAGTGCGAATTCTTTTCTCGCATTTCGTACAGTATAATTTCTTTATCTTCTAACACCAACCTGGCAAACCGTATGTGGCTCAAATCATCGCCAAGCGTGGCGGCATCGCCAACGATGGCGGCTCCGATATCATCGCCACACGTAGCGGCAACGCCAAACGTGGCGGAAAGCCAAGGTGACCAGGCAAATGAGTGAGTTCATTGCTCATCACGCCTAGGTCGGTAGAAGGGTGGACGGGTGTGATCTTGTGAATGGTCTTGGATCGCAAATCGATCCAGGGTTTATGTTTCTCCAACCTTCGCATGCCAAGGATTAAATCCCAGCGGTCATTTAGGTCGATGACGTAGAATTGCTTGATCGAGACAAAATCTCCCACCGACGTGGGAAGGTCGATAAGGACCTTCGGTGAGGTGACAACCTTGCCATCAGCCACCTTTACACGCACGACAGAGTGCGGTGATGTGCGCGCGGTGGCGCCATCGTTGATGGAACGATTCAGCTGAGTCCATGCGCATTGGGCATAATTTTACGACGCACCGCTGTCGATGAGGACGCGTAACAAACGGTCGTACCCAGAGATACGAGAAGGGAAGTACAACATACGGGAAGGTTGTCTTCCGATTCGACACAGAATTACTATGTCCGAGGCAGGGCTTGCTGATCCTCTTATGCCACCACAATCAAACGGCAATCCCTCTTTAGCCTCAGTAGGACGCCTCGCACCTACTAAGGAAACTCGCCACCGCCGCGTGCGCGATCGACAACGGGATGCGCTAAGTGTGTAGGACATGAGGCAGTACCACGAGCGGATGTCGGCGCACGGCGTGGTTGCCGACTCTCGCGGGAGAAGTGTCCCGGTCGGTTGCAGTTGAAGCAACGACGGTTGGTGGTGAGTGAGGTCATAGCAGAGATCTCCATGTCATGTGGGTCGCGGGTCTTGGTCGTGGTGCGCGATTGGAGAACCGAAAATCTTCGGCCAGCGCGGTGCTGACGGCATCTTCGAATGTCGAAGGATATGTCCGAAAAAGCTGCATGCGCGCAGCTTTTTCGGACATATCCTTAGTCGTTGAGGCCATTCATAAAAATTGTCGCCTTAATCTTTTCGGAGAGCGAAGACTTCTGGGTGACACAGTACGCAAGAAAGCGCAGATCGTGGTCGTACTAACGAATAGAGCGTTTGCCTTGCATGGCAGATAGGTACTCCGCGCGATACCGGAAGTCGCTGTTCAGTGGCAGGAACGCTGCCTTCAATTGTTCGATGAAATCATCGAAAGTGGCAAACGCGAAGCCATCTTCGCAAGTTAGGCCCCAGGCCCAATCAACCACACGACCAGTAAGATGCGACATGGCGAAAGACACGCAGATCTCATAGTTGTCGATGTTCAAAATCCGCGACACGACTAACTTGCTTGATCCAACGAAGCAGTTGGTGGGAGGCAAGTCCTCCATACTTGGGGACTTCGAGCTTTACGGCGCGTTGCTTCGGCTTCGAATCGTCTGCGAGGACATACGGGACATACGGGCAATCGTGTGACGGAGGGTATCCTCCAGAGCACGACCTCGAGCGTTGAGGTCGGCAACTTCTTGTAGCGTGGCATCGCGCTCGGAAGCAAGCGATTGCGCTTCCGCCGCAATGTCTTTCCGAGCATTCTCGCCATGGCGAGAAAAGCTGTTAACCACGTGGAGCTGCGCAGGAGGCGCCACTGCGTAGATCAGGCTCCAGACTTCTTGTTCCCCGAGAACGGAACACATGTGTCGGATCGTGACAAGGTGGGTCTCGGAAAATTGGGCAGAGGACATTGCGCGGCGGAGGGGAAGGTCGTTGGACGAACTGGAGTGCCTACCAGGTGTAATGAGGTGCACAGAGGAAGGTGTGTAGAACAAGGTATATTGTTACCTTAGAGTACTAGCTATCTCTGAGCTGGTTTCCTTGGCGCGCGGCTGCGCGCCAGTCATGCAATTCATGTCAAATGAATGGTGCTGCTGTGGCGGTCGCAGAGCCAGTGATTTAAGACACTTGGATTGCCAAGTGTCTTCTCTGGTCAGGATTGGTACTGACCAATGGGATGCCGTGCCGGATGTTATCCGGACCGGTTACACTCGCCAAATAACGCATCCAACCCACACCTATCCAACCTGCCAACCCAACTTCTGTGACCTCAACTTCTACTATCGTAGTATGGCACAACAATAGCTATCCCTCCAACCACCCCCGCACAGCTCCACTGTCGAGATCAGGAGTAGACATAGTAATGAACCCCAGTCACGGTTTTTGGATCCCCAGCAGCAGTCACAATTACCGTTCCCCGGCAAAGACCACTATCGTTATTCTGGAAGCGTGGGTGGTGGGTTGGTGGTGGTACTGACTGGTAGTCTAAGAGCACCCCACCCCTACGCTCCAGAATAATACCCAAAAACCCTGCTACCCCAGTGACTACGATTGCTGCACACGCGACCACCACATAATGCCATTGTACATACATGGAGTACTTCATCACCACTTGCCATGTCGCATCGACTCTGTGTTCTCCTATAACTTGACCACCCACGGCCACCAAGTTTTCACACTACTTTGTACGCTAGAAGGGTACTTGATGGCGTGGTGGTGACATGCGCAGTGCTGGTAGTCACAAGCGCTGCGCATGTCAGCACCACGCCATCAAATCCACTTCTAAGTACAGTAACAAGATCCGTCGGCTAGACTACCGCGTTGCAGCACATGTGCGGGCTTGGGCGATAGAGAGCTTATAAATAACGTTACTAGTACCGCGTAATTTCATTTCATTTCACTCCTACGGTAAGTACTAGTAATGTGAAAACGGATTACGAAATGTGGATTGTACCATTTGATGTGGGGATCCCATCGGTGTGCAAGGAAGCGTTGGGGGATGACTATGCTAAGAGGAACAACCAATTCACTAATTTTCGATGCTACGTGTTTATTTGTAGTCGCTACAGCTAGATCAACCGCCTTGTCTTAGTACAGTAGTGTTATACAGCGTGGTCACGACCGCGGCGTGCATTTTGAAAGGCACGACGTCTTTATGAAGAAGGTGCTTACTAGTAATGGAAAGGCGTTGGACAAGCTGGAGTGCGAACTTCCACCAATCCTATGGGCAGTGGTTGGTACAGAGAAGTACATACATGCACAAGGGATGCTAAGTGGGTTTTCCAACCATGTTAATAATCCTGTATACCTAGTAAGTTCTGATATCACCACCAACTCGTTTATCGCAAAATGATACCCATCGAATCATGTGTGCCTTGTGGGCATTGTCAACTACTCCGAGTACTGCACTATGTCAGCCTCAGTGTATTTATGTCCAATCACCCCCATAACGTTCATTGATTAGATAAAATAATTAAGGTAGTGCAACTTGCATTGTTTTTTTGAGAATCCCAAAAAGTGTACTTCCCACGCTGCATCCAAACGCATCCAAAAATCATTGAGACGAGTGCGAGCTAAAAAAAAAACCTGGTAACCCACGTAACCCCGATGCTCCCGAATGTGATAGTCATACCTTAAATGCACTTTAGCCGTTGTTTTTTAATCCCCCCCCGAGAAACCACTCGACCCCGATGTCCCACATGTATAATTGCATCTGGATGCAGTTGGATGCGCTTGGATGCAATAAGTGGATGCAGTTTATCCCGTTTGTCCCAATATCATCTGTCCTGAACTCACTATTGCCCTGTTTTGTCCCAGTGGATGCAGCCACGTGTACTGTAACTCCTACAGTAACAGGCCTCTGGAACAATTATACAGTTTTTGCTCAAATAGTGCAATATATTGGAATCACATCGAGATACATCGCATTTTGTGCCTCAACTGACGATATATATACGATAAAATTATTCACAGACTCTTTGGCTGAAAGATTGACAACTACAACAGTGATAAAAAACTCGTAATTCACTCATCTACTTGTCAAATATGAAGTTACTGATAAACTATGAAAATATAGAGGTATATTCCATCGCCCTTGCACTCAATTTCTCGTTGGCTGGAAATGATGCGCGCCATTCACAACGATAGCTCAACCAGTTATCTTCAAGAATTCCTTCTAACCACTCGTTTACTCATAACTCATAATTCATCACTCTTTCATCGCCTGTGTACCATGCGCATCAACGTGTCGTCGATGTTCGAGCTAATCCAGGACCAGACTGCCTCGGGCAACCTCTACCTCCAGCAAAGCCTGAACGAATACGGCGATGCCGTCCTGGAAGAGGACGAGATCCACGAAACCAACAACCCCATCATGGACAAGACCCTTCTTGACACTGGCGCTGAAGGATTCCGTGTGTTAACAAATTTTACACCGGAGAAATTCGAGGACATCTGGGGGAATGCTGAATCTGCTATGACATCACGTTGGAATGACGGTCGCGGTCGGAAGTCCGCAACAAGTGCCAAAGACGCCCGTTCTTTGTTACTTTAACGGTAATGAAACACTACCATACCTGGGAAAAACACGCTGTGGACTTCGCCCTGAAGGCACCAACGCTGGAGAAACTCATCGTGAATGTGGTCGGCGTGTGCTCGAAGCTCCTGTACGACTGTTTCGTGTCTCTGCCCCGCATGACGACGCTGCGCTCGAAGGACAAAGTGTTCACTCGCTAGCCCTACGCATTGCATGCGACGGACGTCAAGTTCCAGCCGGCTCATCGTCCCTCCGGCCGCTTCAGTGAACAAAAGCACTAATTCAGTGGAAAACATAAGCTCTACGGCTTTAAGACAGAAGCTTCCCTCTCACCTAAGGGTTTGCTTGTTGACATGAGTCCTCATGAGCCAGGTTCTGCGTCTGACCTCACCATGGTCCGAAGCCGCCTGGACCAACACAATCAAGCACTTGCGAAGGACGACTACGACGACACCATCAACGACAACGGGAAACTGTTTCGAGAGCTTCCTACCTCATGGGCGGTCCTTGTGCATAAGGGCTACATCGGCCTTGCGGTGTCTGCGCATACCATACATCCGAAGAAGAAGCCTGTGGGTGGCACGTTAGACCGACAGGATTAAGGATGTTTCTTCTGACCGTATCGTTGTCAAAAACGTATTCGACTGGGTGAGCTCGCTTTGGAAGGTGACCTACGCGACATTTGTATGGAGTGAGAAACTAACTCTATGATGACATTCAGCGATTCACGTTTGCCCTTACCAACTTCCACGCGACTTTGATGCCCTTGCGCCTCGAGGACAATGACCACTATCGTGCTATCATGGCACGCTACAAGAGCATGGCAGCTGAGAACACCTCAAAGACAGCCGCGAACCAACGAAGGTACCTACAGCGCCGTGCAGAGCGGTTTGCGCCGGAAGCTGCCCGCGCCAGCCGTACTTCGCGGGGCACATTCTTGTCTCCCATGGTGAGTGGCCGCCGCTGAAAATACAGTACATTGATTTTTAATAAAGCATTTGAAGTTTTGTATGCAATACTAACAACAAGTATAAATATACCTGAACTTATTTTATTATGGAAACTGTGTCCTTGCTTCCGATCTACTCAGTTATCGCGTCATTTTGGAAATGACTTGGTTATTACTGAACTGCAGGCTCATTGGGAAATCACTCAATTTTTTCAGAAATACCAGAGCAAGTCGTCAGTAGCTAAAGCATATTGGATATACAAGAGGCTTTCACTGAAACATTCATGCACTTTTGAAATATGTGACGAACTGGTTTGGTGACCTAATTACGATTTCCAACCACAACACAGTGAATAATTCAACAATAACCCCTGAATATCGATGAATACGTACTATTTATAGTATCGAGTCTGCGCAGAATGAATTATTTATTTCTTGAGGCACATCTCAAGAATTACATATTTTTGTCCTTGGCGTCCAGCGAATAAGTTAATTTATTCTTACAGGTAGTAGACCTGGTCCTTTTTGAATATATTATTGTATTCACAAACTGCTGTAAAACAAAGAACTCTTGTCGAGAATATATGTTAGTCCCTTCCTAGGGGGCATCTTCTACAGGCCAAGGTTGGGTTGCGAAATCAACCCCTCCAACGATGCCACTACCTGGTACTCTCGCCCCTCTGAATTATGGACGTTTAAACCAAGACGAAGCGATATCTTAAGCTTGTATACTGTTAGGGCGAATACTTCAGCCAACTTGTAGATCCATGTGGATACATACATATACACTATTCCTGCATGAGAATCTTACTAGTATGTTGGGGCTAGTATGACAGAAAACCATGTCGCCATGTACAGCAGTGCTCGGTATACTGTACACTAGCTACAAGCTAGCAGCCAGCTTAGCTGATTCCACACGACAGACGCATTGGACGATTGATTCTATGGGACTTTATCCAGCTGGGAATAATCCCAAATGTCGGTGCTCATCGTCATGCCATTCCACAGTCGGTTGACAATGCTCGCGTTGTACAGATCGGGGCCGTCCAGATGCTGCAAGATGTGCACGGCCACGTCCTTTTGCAGCGGCGGGTTGGACGGACCAAACAGCGGATACACGACGAGTTTCCGCTTGACATGGGCCTCTGCCGCGCCTTTGAGCTTGTCCTGTCGGGATATTCATCATACACAGTAAGCCCAGTACGAGCGATGAGTACCTGCCGCAGGATCGTGGACCGAAAGTCGCCAAACGATGGTGGCTTTGTGTCGGATATCTCTGTCACATGGGCGTGTGTGTATTGTGGCTGCGACGGCGGTCGGATCGTCGACGAGGTCATGATGATGTTGGCCGTCGCCGCAAACAACTCTTGTCCTGGGGGGTTGGCATGGCCTTGGTTTTTGCAATCCTAGTGTATAGTGTTCCCACAACGCATCACAATCTATCTACTGGCACCCGACGACAAGTCTCTCTCTCTCTCTATATATATATATATACGACAAGCCTCTCTATGCATATCTATATATATATATAGATAGATATACACGTACGATGCATTTGCAATTGTCACCACATGGCACGCCCGCTTGAAAGCACTCGCAGTACTTTTTCCGGCAAAACGACTTTTTGCAGTGACACCCGTGGTGGTGTGTCTGGACCAGAGTGGTGCCAAAGGGGGTGCTGCTGCTGCCGCTTGTATCGTGGCCATGATGCTGATGATGATGCTGGGTATGATGGGAATGACGCGGCTGGCGGTCGTGGTTGGACGGCATGGTCGTCGTGTTGATCTTGGGCTTGAACGCGTTCGGGTTGCGCTCCAATGTGATCGCAATCGCTTCCTTTCTCTGTATGTCAAACTTGGGAATGTTGTGGCAGCCCACGCACTTGCAGTTTTCGTCGCAAACGGAACCCGACGCAAAGCATTCGCAGTACAACTTGAGGCACTGTGACTTTTTGCAGTTGCACGGGTTTCGCTTCTTGGGGGTGACGGCCGCTTGCCCGGGCATCCCACCGCCGCTCCTTGGGATGACGACGTTGGTAGTAGTATTTCTGCTACTAGTACTATGATTGCCGGATCGGCTGCTGCTATTGCTGCTGTCGTTCTGACTCAAGGCGGGCGTTGTCGTCGGCATAGGTGGTGGCGGTGGCGGCAGCGGTGGCGGCAGTTGGACACGCGCTTTTTTCCGCACGCCTTCGTCCGAGATGGACGGGGCGATGAAGCTAGTAGACGACGATGTAGAAAGCAGACTGTGGAGGATTGCCTTGGACTCGTCAAGCTGGCGTTTCGACGAAGGTGGTGCCGCAGTCAAAGAAGTCGGCGGGGTGTCCTCTACCAACCGAAGGGCTTTAAAAGCCTTGGCGTTTTTGTTCACTTTGGCCTTGCCTTTTCGCCTAACGTTACACAGTTATACACACATTCATGGAATCCCAATGAATAACTGATGGGAACCACAGATAACGACGAGGTTATTACATGGAATCGTTGATGGATTTGAGGCTTGTGGCCTGGCCGCCCATCACACTGGGATGGGCGAATTGCAGCGTCACGGACTTGCGCCCGACGACGTCCGACGTCCGATGGTCTCGACCAGGAGCATCGCTCGTCGACGCTTGGATGTTTGGAAACGACGCTAGGGGCTCAAAGTACGCTGATGTCGGCGAGTCGGTGAACTCGAGGCGCTGGGTCACGACCCGAGCTGGGCACTCTGTGTCTGTGTCGGGGGTCCTGTCCTTGCCGTAACAACTACCAGGTTCGCTGCAACAGATGAGCAAGGTATATAGATAGATCAATGGAAAGAGAAAAGGTCGTACAGTTTGGCCAGAGGCGGCTCCGGCGTGAGCGGGGACACTGTCACGGACGGCGACGAGTCCAGGTTGTTGAGATCTGTGATCGCAGGCAACGACTGCGCAAACGTGAGGAAGCTTCGGTTGTCGTCGTCGTTGGAGGCAACGGGCGTGGTCGCGACGACGGGCATCGGGGACAGCATGAACCGGTACTTCTCGCCATGTTCGACCTTCCATCCCGAGAACGGACTCGTGAGCGGACCTGCTTTCTCGGCGGACAAAGGCGGGATTTGAGTCGTGGTGCGTCCCTGCTGTTGTTTAGACTTTTTTAGCATCACAGGTGTCGTCAACGCGTACGACGACTCCGAGTCCTTTCCGACGACGGGGCTCCGAAAGAACTTGGACGGGGAATAAATAACTCGCAACGGCGAGAACAACTTGCCACTATCAGCTCTTGATTGTGGGTGAGCAGGAGATTGTTCGAGTTCGTTGTTGAATATGGTTGATCCGACGGCCGCCTCGGCCGCTATCCTCGCTGGCGATGCAAACATGGCGCGGAAGTCAAGAAAGTCGACGTCTTCTCGTCCCTCGTCACTCCCATGCAAAGTTCCAGCGCTTGTAGGCACCATGTGAACGTTGGGTTCATCGCGCTCGGTTTCCTGAGCCATCCCTTGGATCGACCGCCGCCGCGCGAGTTTCGGAGGCTTTGGACGGAAATTGATCCTTGGGTCGACCTGCAACTCAAGCGGTCGTTTTATATGAGTGTTTGTATACTGCCCGAACTCAGGCGGGAAATGCTGCAATCATATTATTTTACCACAAGCTTGCTGTTTGTATGGGAAGTGGCCATTTTGTTTTAAATGGAAACAAGTTCCGGATAATACCCGAGCCAAAATAGGCCAAACGGCATGTTTATCCGGCATTTCATGAAATTGCGCGGGATTATTGGCGTTTGATTGGCTGAATGGCATCCAATCACGTGCCTTGGCCATCTGGAGTTTATAATGGAAGGCATGCAGGCAATCAAGCGCTCGACGCGTCCGAAGCAAGGCTTCCTCGGGCCGAGTGACACCATTGTAGCCTCACTTCTAGCGCGAGTGATTAGTATCGTTGTATGCTCCGCGTAAGCGGGGTATCTAGAAGTATCTCTACCCATGTGGTCCACAAAATTCACAGTGCTATCATTCAATATCTACGGCATGAGTGTTGCCCGAGTTTCGCTGTCACGGTCCTCACTACGATGCTGGATTGGCCGATACGGCTCAAAACGATCTCAATCGTGGGATTGCTCGATGTCAACACGTCAATTCTGACAACACCTGGTATAGTCTTGTGGTGTTCTTTACAACAACAAGAGTGTCAGCGGCTCATGTTTAGCCGTGGCGTCGAGTTCCCCGTTGACTGTGAAAGAGGGACACTGCATTGTGCCAATACATACATATCGGATCAAATGTTTTAAATCAATTTAAAATCGGGATTTCAATCGTGGTTTATCCGGATTTTCGCACTATTTATTTGACAGTTCAAAAACGCCGGATAATGGAACGCAAACAGGTCATTCGACGTTTGAATACACATGCGACGGCGCAGCACCAACAACGTCGGGAGGCCAGGCGTCCTCACGAGAAGCCGGAAGCAGCTCATGGAGCTGCAGGGATACTTGCCGAAGGATAAGGTCGTTAGCGATACCGAACTGGACGAGTATATCAACCACCTCGACGACAAGATCGACGCCACACAGGATGTGATGGCATGGGGAGACGACGACGACGACAGCAGCACCTCAGACGACGGTGAATCGGATGAAGATCAAGACGATGACGCAGACTACAACCCACGCCGCGGAGGTGGTCGAAAGTCAGTCGCATCTTCCAGTCCTGGTTTCGTGTCTCATGTACTTTGGTCGTCCATTGGGCCCTGCCTCGTCGTGCCGGTGCTGTATCACCGGTGGTCGCACTTGACATACCCTCTATCCACGCCCTCACTCGTGTCGTATATGGCCATCGTGTGCTTGAACTGGATCACGTTCGTCCTTCTCACGTGCTTGATCTTCGCGGGAAGTTGCAACACACCATCCTTCCTGCGAGGGTTTCTGTTCAAAGTGCCTTTGGACGTTCCTTCATGTGCGTCCGCCGTGTGGACCCCCTTGCGCGACTGTGTGGTCATGCACGGAGTCCAGTGCTTTTCCCTTCCAAGCTGTCAGCTGCCACTGGGTCAACTCGCCGGCGCCGTCGTTGGTTTTGGCCTCCTGGCGAGCTTCCACCGTCGGCGGGTGCAAGTTGTTGTCGGCGTTCTGTTTGTCGTGCATCATGGCCTTCAGTGGGCCCATCATACGTCCGCGCGGTCCTTCTTCTCTGACCCGTCGCCCCAGTCCATCCACATCACATCCATCGACCCCGTGTTTGCCTACGCGAACGAGTCGATTCACCTCCTTCTGGACGGACTCAACCTTCACGAAGGCATGCAAGTGGGCTGGGTGCCGTTCTGGGGCTGCAGCCGCGACACGCCTCTGTCGGCATGTCCCGTCGAGCTCGTGGCGACGTTAACCCACGGCGGGGTGACCCAGACGTTTTCCGCCGTCGACGAGTACACGGCATGCATTAGCCTTGCTGGCACAACGGCCCCGTCCGCCGCCTTTGCATGCTTTCCGGACGTTCGGCTAAAAGTCAAGCACATCCAGAGCACCCCCGGGTGGTCACTTCAACAAGGATAAGAGAGCAAAATCATATCGTCGATTTGATACAAACTTCGTGTTGTGATTTCACGTTGGAATTTAAAACGATTTGATTGGCTGGCTGGCTACCTCAGTGGAACTCAAAATGATTAGCCAATCAAAACCTCTCAATGAAATTCAACCAAACCGATCCACAATCGATCTGATTGGTTGAATTTCATTGAGTAGTTTTTGATTGGCTAATAATTTTGAGCTCATCTGAAGTAGCCAATCAAATCGATTTAAATTCCAACACCACAACACGAAATTTCACTCGAAAGCAAATACACACACTCTTTTGTTTACTCGTCTCGGTTTATGGCATGTACGAGTCATAGATACCACTACTATCCCTGGCTATGTCCACCCAATTCATCAGTTCCTCCCGCCGTGCGCAGCTGGACGCGCATATTGGTGGCCGTGACGCGAATGTCCAAAAAGCCATACTTGCGCTCGTCCAGTGCCCACGTTTCGATGCCCGAGTGAACACTCATGGGGGTCCCTCCGCCGATTCCTTTGGCAATAAAGTGCGTGGTAAACCCCGACCTAGTACTACTAGCCTCCGTCATCTCGTCTTGAGCCTCGTCGTCGTCGTTTTCGTCACAGTGTGATATGATGGACGTGACGATTGTTTCGGTCTTTGAGCAATCTTGTGGACGACGTCGACTTGACATGGATCACGCCGGGGACGTGTGCATGGAGAGCCACAAGTGCACTTTGCCACCGCGTCCATCCATTTTGATCGGTCTGTGGTCCCCATCTCCCAAGGCGACACGTGTCTATTGACAACCTACAACGCATGATTGCGTCAAAAAGAGAGAAAAGATTGTAATACATATATTAATATATGTGTATATCTATAAACAAATATGAATTCGGTATAAACTTGCAAAATTCACGCGGTTTGTCGAATCAATATTGAATCACTCTGGAGTGTGTGATTGGTTGAATATACTTGTCCTTTCTGTAACAGCCAATCAAATCCACTCAAAATATTGGATATTAGCCAATAGCGTCGATTCGTGATTCGATTCGGCGGCGAGATCATTCGATTCGACGGGGTCTGGAAATCTGTACCGAAACCACAATACATATATCCCAATTTTGCAAGATTTGTAAACCGATCACAAATCTCGTCGCGAAATTTCATTGTTGGGTTTCCCCATCATCCCCAGAAAGCACGAAGTAAAAAGACCAAATAATACCTATAGCCAGTCGAGAACTGGGTCCTGATATTCGTACCAAATCAATAATATATATATATATATGGTACCTTGTACGTGGCCATAGACGCCATCACGTCGCGTTGGAAGTGCGCAAACGACGTGTCGGCCACCGCCTCGAGTTGCTGCCGACATGTTTGGTATAAGGCGTAGTTTCCCCCGGCGCAATAGTCATCTTTCGGTTGGATCGATCGGCAAGCGGCGGTGGCCGCGGCCGTTGGGGGGACATACCCGATGCACCAGCAGCAAATGGGCACGGCAGTATGCACGAGCACATTCACGTGGAAGACATCGATGGACACGTGGCCGTTCGACGAGACTATCCGTTGCTTGTAGTACGAGTCTGGCAAAGTCCACCTTGAATTTTGTTTTGCCTTGGGTTGGTAGACATGTTGTGATGCTTCCCTTTAGGTGGTGCTGCTGCCGCGATGGAAAATGTCGACTGTTGATGATGTCCATATTAAGAGGATAGCCGGCGACCAGTTCAGAAGTGTTCCCATATACCTGTAACGTCGCTTCTGAAACTCCGCAGAGGAAGTTGCCGCCGCCGACGTCGTGCTCTCCCATAATAGCCGCCCACGGAATAGACCAAAGGGCCGACTGGTTGTACCCAGAGGTAAACGTGTCTGTCGCGCGAGTGGCCACGGACGCTGCAGTGGAAGATGGAAGCAACCCGAACCAGTTGAAGTTGTTCCTATTCGCATACATCATGTCAAGATGAGCAGGCCATATGTAGGTAGGTAGGTACAGCTGTAGGTAGTGGTTAGTACCCTTGGCTGACGATGAGCTGCGGAGGAACGGGCCCTTGAGTGGCAGTGATCGCCTATGGCCGACGCCACGCGTGCCTGGGCCCTTCGATCGACGTCGTCGCGGTACCGATACAGGCCATCCTTTTTGTCGGCGAATGATGGGGCGACACTCCAAGACCCCAGCGCAAAGAGTCGCACGACGATTGACTGGGTAGCTAGACCAAAACATCTTGGAAAGCATGTCAACGACGTTAGATGGAAGTACCTGGGACGAGTGGGCCGAGTTTGCGGGTGATCCTGATGCCCACGGCAGCCCCTGCAACCGCACAGATGGCTACCAACACATACACTGTGTGTAGGGGTGCACCACCTTTGTATTAGGACTGAGCTAGTGACGGCCAACGCCTGCTCGTGGTTGTTTTCGCTGTCGTCGGGAATCGAGTCTGCGCTCACGCCAAAGGGGTCTTGGGCAATGTTGAGTACCGGCACTTGCCGCCTCATTGCGACCTCGTCCTCTGACACCATCATCGCGCTGCCGTCGTCGCGTCAGTCATGTGCTCCTCATTATTGATTGCCATTGACGTGAACGATGTGTGTGATCGCATGATTGTAGCCAATCAAACGCCGACAATAGGATTTTACTTCGAAGTAGCTTAGAAAAACGATCAAAAGTCGACATGTTCATTTGTATGTGCAATATGAAGGAATGTGCAGCTCAGCAGTAAAGCTCAGATTGACAATGAATTCTTGTGCGTCGTTGGAGGCCTACCTTCCGCTTTCTAGAGTTTTCAGTGCACCGCATTGTACAGTGTAGTTTGTAGTCCTATGCACCGGCAGCACTTTTCCCCAACCAGCCGCTCAAAGTCGTATCGAAAGCAACACACCGACTTTTAAAGTGGTGATTTGATACATATATTCTCCAGAGTCTTGTTGTGGTTATGTTTCGGTTCACGTCAAGTGTGACAGAAAACTCTCGTACATACTGTACTTGGAGTAACGTTCTGTAGTAGCCGACGTGCCATGATTATATCAACACTAACGTTATGTACAAACTGTACTGGTACAATATATCATGGCACGTCGGCAAAACATGAGAGCTGTGGACTCGACAAATAATTCGAGCAGTACCAATGCGAGTGCGCAATTGCCTTGCTTCCTTCTGGTACAGACCTTTTTACCGAACAAGGAGAGGAGTTGCACAGTGAGCCCAGCAAGTTCCTACTTGTAAAATGGACAGTTTGACCTCTCAAATGTCTCAAATAAAATGCGAGTATGGGACCTTGACGCTGCGTCAAAGTCTTGATCACCGCTGATTGGCTGAACCAATTTTCTGTCCTGATTGTCCACCAATCCGATCACAGCATATCCCACTTCCGTCGAGAAAGTAGAAGGCCACCTGGCGCAGTTCAACTAATTCGACATACAAATATCAAGATCAACATCGATTGTTCTTGGCAGCTAGGACACGCACCGCCTTCAACAAACGGTGCAGAATTAAACGCACCATTACCAGAAAGGCCACGAGAAATACTATCGGATTTTAACCAATCAAACTCAAGTCCAGAGGACGGGAGGCGCCACACGGTGGGCATCAGAGAGAACACGGATTGCTTTGGAGTCGTGACTCCGCTCTGCAGTACTGGCTGGTACGGATCGATTTGGCCGCTTTATTACTGTATTAACACGCGCCAAGATTGTCCACTGTAATCTATGGATCGCAGATTGTGAAGGCAATTATGTACTGTACTGTACGTGCGTGCCGCATCTTAGATATGTCACGGGCCAAATATAATGGTGTACCGCTACTGTAGCTTACAGGTTAAGTGAGATCCACATGACCAGTGCAATTAGGCCTCTGGTTCTACTAAGTACTGTAACTTTGTACGCCTATCCAGGTTGATGCGTTCTATTCGAATCCTCAGGTGTCAACTGAGATTCAAGCTATGCCATCATGATGAAACTCATATCTTTCCATCATATAAATCCGTCGAAACACTCCACTTCGTCGTTCCTTCCTTTCTGAATCATCGTCGCACCCAAAATCTCCGCTCAAACTTTCGCAAATGCCAGAATGGTGCACGCCACTCACTTCTCAATACAGTGTGTACCACAGTGTACCGCAGTCTGTACCGTAATGCACTCATCTGCATCGCTTTTAACCCAATTCCAATCTCTGCACACGTTCAAGGTACAAAACGCCAATTTTATACGCATTCTAGCATAATTTAAACTACAAGCAAAACCCACACTGTTAATTTTCAACCTTATAAATAGTCAAAACCCGCACCGACCAGACTTGTGTACTGTATCGTGAATTCGCCTGGGATGAATTTAAGCCAATCCAATGGCTTCATTTCGGTGTTGAATCCGGTGCGCTTTTCCATTTGAGGGCCACCAGCTGGGACGTGCGCCAGCTTGGCTTTGTTGAACCAACTCCTTGAACTTGCTGAACCACGTGTGATGGCCAATCCTTGAATCACTTCTTGATCCGAACAACCGTACCACCACCATTGGAGTCGCCGCCGCAGCCGCCGCTTCTCGCTCTGGAATCCATACTCGATGACGTTCTTCAAGGCATGGTCGCGAACTAACAGCACAGCGCTCTCTATCAGACCGCCCTTCAATGCCAGAAGCATGTGGCGACGGGTGTTTGTTGTGCTGAAAATGGTGCGTGTGCTTCGCCTTCTAGGGCAGCGGGCCGCGTCGCGCCGCGCGTTTCTAGAAAAACAACACCAAGCCATGTACGGCAGCAGTGGCCACCAGCCGCGATGCGCCACACCTGGCTGCAGCTCGGATTGGTACTACGTGCAGAAGAACGGTCACTGCACAGCCTGCAACGCCAATCGACCACGACAGGGGGTCATGGACTCGAGTGTGATGGAGACGATCCGGAAGGCATGGTCGCGTTTGACCTTTCGCAAGCCAAAGGATGCAGGACTCAGCGACGAAGAGTACGCGATGATGCTCGGCGTCGAATGGAACAGCCAGCACCAGGAACAATACCCAAACACGTTGAAGCTTGTGTACAACCTGAGCCAGTTTCCGCCGCATGTGAACCAGAATGCGAACCTGAATGCAGATATGGTTGACGAGCTCGTCAAGCACAGCTCCGAGTGCGCCGCGTCCGAGCGCGGGCAAATGTGCCACGTCGGCGGTTGCGCCGAGATGCGCAGGATTCTTCACCACACGTCCGTGCATCCTAACGCCGAACCCAGCTGCACCGACTGCTTGAAAGCGTACCGCATCCTGCTCAGCCACGCCGAACGATGCCGCGTGCTTTGCCGCGTTCCTCGCTGCAGCGGCGTTAAGACGCACTTGGAATGCCGTGCCGCCGCCGCCAGCGGAAACGCTGCCGCACCGCAAATGTGCTGGGTGCGCACTCCTCAAATGTCGTGGTGGCCTGCCATCGCGTACCCGATGCATTATCCGTTGCCACAGCTACCGCTGTACGTGGTGGACCAGTACCAAGACGGGCACCAGATCGTATGCTGCCTCGGCGATCGCCAGTTTGCGTGCTTGCCACTCAATCAGATCTTGCCTTGGACTCAGCCCGCGCTGCAGTCGAGTACCGAGCCGCTGTGCAACCATTTAGCTTGCGAAGACCTCCGCGGGTGTGTTGGGTACGCCGCGACGTGCGTGTTCGCATCGTTGGAACAGCACAAGATGGCGATGACCCACCATCATGCGATGGCGTCGTTGTCCGGTCCGCATCCCCAACAGGTGTCTCAGCCGCCACCACGGACGCGGTTGCCATCCCTTCCGTCGTTGTTGGCGCGCCAACCACAGACGACTCCCGTCACCAACGAGTTTGACGGCGGGTTTATTAGCCCCGAAGTGCACATGAAGAAGCGCAAGTTGATTCAAGTGCCTCAACTTAGGTCGTAGACTAGCCCCGTTCATTTCCCATCACACACATCGTTGTACGATTGCAACGATCCATCCACACGTATGTCCTATAGCATTATTTAGACTAATTTCAGTAGAGCCCTTTAGTATATTCTTCATGTGTCGACTCGCATGAGAAGTGCCAACGTTCGTTACTACAGTACTGCCCGCATCTTGCGCCTCCAGGACGTTCGTTGATCGCTTGCTCCCTGGCAAGAAGAGCCCCCAAAGTAGTTTTACCTTTCAACATTTATATGAAGCATAACGTGATTGAACAAAAATACAAAGGGTTCACTCGAATCGATACTAGAACCGAGTTAAAACCAAATAGTAGATACATACTCTGGCATTGAATACCTCTCAACATCAATACATTTCCTTTGGACAGTAGTGATAGAAAATGCTTATTTACATTGCCAAATAAATGAAATTGTATACTACTAGTATAGTACCGTAGTAACGTAATAATAGTCATTTTGAATGATATGAACAGTAAGTTACAGTTAGTTAGAGTACAGTGCAGTACAGTATGCCCGATCTACCGCCAAGGAACGATGACTGCGATGGACTCCATGGGAGCTATCCAACAGAGGGACGTACTGTATGCATGCTTCGTGGACTTGACAGTCGTTGAGCACTCCACCGACCCCGATTATTGCGTCAATGCAACTCAAAGGCGACTTTTTTTGTAACGGTCAAACGAGGCGGTTACAGATCTCTCGCCACGAGTGTCTTCCATCTTCTTCCGCGACCTCGACGCCGGTTGCTGCCGTCCATCTTGGTATATCCACACGAGACGGGCAAACATGCTGGAAAAATGGGTCGAGGGTTTGATCGTCGAGTACTTTTCGGAATGGCTCGAAGGGTTCGACAAGGACGGCATGCGCATTGGCCTCTTCAGCGGGAAAATTTGCTTTCAGAACCTCAAGTTCCGCAAGCAAGCGCTGGACAAGCTCAACGTACCCATCGTGCTCAAAGAAGGTCGGCTCGGATCGCTCAACGTCAAGGTGCCGTGGAAGCGGCTGTCGAAGGAGTCTGTGCATATCGTGCTGGAAGATCTGTACCTGGTCGTCGGGCCCTACCATGACGAGTCGAGCGAAACCCAGTCCACTGTGGACGATCGCGTTCGTCAGGCCAAGCAGCACGACATTCGGCTGCGCGAACTGCTTCAGTCCACGGCCAATGACGTGGATGGCTGCCTCGTGTCGCCCCCCACGAGCCCGAAAGCAGCATCGTCGCCGTCGTCATCGTGGAAGCAAAAGATGCTGAATCTAGTCTTGGACAACCTCACGTTTGAACTCAAACGCATCCACGTTCGATACGAAGACAGCTCGCTCATGGTGTCCGCTCGGCCAGTGTCGTTCGGTGTGTCCATCGACGAGCTCAAAGTCTCGACCACCAACGCCAACGGCCACGTAACGTTTATGGACCGGTCGACGTCGCACACGCCGTTTGTGCACAAGTTATTTGACGTGGTCGAGGGGTACATTTACTGGGACCTCCACAGCAGCCCACCAAGTACTACTAGTAATGCTGTTACTACTATCCCCACCACAACCCCGGCTTCTCCATCCAGATCGAGTTGTGCAGCAGCTGCTCCCTCCTCCAAGATGACATACCTTGTGGAACCCATGACCACGTCCATCAAGATTACAGAGAACCACGACGCAGCGTCCCATCAGTTCATTCCGCAGTACCGCGTGCATGTCGCCCTCCCGTCGCTGCGCATGACTATCTCCCCCAGTCAATGCAAAGACATGGCCAATGTCGTCGACTTTCTCGTCGGGCATGAAGTGTACTTGAAGCGCAGCCACTGCCGCAAAGCCCGCCCGCGGTGTTCGGTCCACGAGAGCCCCAAACGGTGGTGGAAGTACGCGATTCAATCGGTGCTGGCCCTCGAACACGACCCCCACAAGAGCACGTGGCGCAAGACCATCGCACTACTAGTTTTACGAAGCCAGTACATTTCGCTCTACATGCGCCTTCTCCCGCTCCTCGCGGCTGACAAGGCCGTGCCCGAAACGGACGCCCAGCAGCGCCGGATTCTGGAGGATGACCCACGGCTGTCCGCCGAATGCATCGTATTCTTTCGGGCGTGCGCGGTCGCCGAGCTCGACATGCAGTCGCACCGGCGCAAACAACTCGCCAAGTCGTCGGCGTCGTCCAAGTGGACCAGCATGCTCAAGAAACCCAAACCCACCACCCCCGTCCACTCACCCCCCCGGACAGGGTTCTTCTCTCCTAAAGTGACCGTCACCCAGCCCAGTTCACCGACCGTGTCCAGCAGCCATGCCCCTGCGGTGTCTTCCCCACGGCCTGTCCCTTCCGTCGCCACTCCGCCGTCGTCCCCCCATGTCCCCCTGCTCACGTTGGACCCGCTAGAGCGCCAACTCGTGTATGAAAGCGTGAGCCAGCAGTATTTCGACCCACCCCCTCTGAAGAAACCGCTCCAGGCAGCAGCTTCCCCGCTATCGAGTAGTGCCAACACTTCGTCCACGTCTCGAGCGGGCCAAGTGCTCGGCCTCGACGTCGCGATTACGGAGATCGTGTGCGCAGTGGCGAAGGAGCCCAAAGGGTCGTCCACGGACCGCAAAGAGTTTGTGCGTTTCCTTGTCACCGACTTGGCGTGGACGTACAACCAGCACATGCGGCTCCCCCACACGACTGGTCCCCCCAATCAAGTCGAAACGAGCACAGTGTTTCAGATCCGAGACATGCAATTGGTGGACGCCACGCAACCGACGGGGAGTCCGTTGGCGGTGATCTTTGGCCATGCCAAGAAAGCCAAGACCACGGCGCTCGTGGTGGTCAAGTTCCACCGCCGCCCCGCCGTCGACGCCGCCCTGGATGTTGCCATTGACGCGTGCAGTTTGCTGTACCACAAGACTGCGTTTGACAAAATATACAAGTACATCACCCCCGACCAAAAGCACTCGAAGGTGTGTGTATCAGACCCAACGACGACCTCCTCCCCCAACAAGGCGGCCGAGCCATCTTTGAACGAGGCCGAGCCAGCCGCCTCCGCCTTGACGACTCCGCTGCGGCTGACGGTCCACATCACCGACGCCACCTGCAGCATCGCCGGCGAAGTGTCGGCCAAAACTCATGATAGTTGTCCATTTGTAGTGCTGCACGTGACCAACATACACGTGCGATCGATGGACGTGAGCTCGCAAGTCGACGCGAGTGTCGACAGCATCGATGCTTTTCTACTCGACCAAGCGCACGTCGCCAATATCTGGGACGACCCGTCGCTGCAGACCAGCAGCCGCATCGTCAAAAAGTTCAAAGGCGACGGGAGCGTGCACCGAGACCACGTGTGCTGGACCTACACGGTGCGCCTGTCGTCGTTCGATGCCAGCGTGTCGGAGACGCAAGTGCGTCAACTGATGCAAATCGCCGCGTACTTGAGCCGACCGTCGGCTTTGTCGTCCGGATCGGGGGGTGCGCCGCAGCCGCTTCCCACTTCCCGCGCCGTCGCGATTGAGATCGCGATCGTGGTGCCGGTGGTGTCGGTCCGATTTGTTGGCAACGAACGGCTGCGAAGTGGTCTCTTGATCGAAGGCACGTCCGTGGCCACAACGGCCAAGTGCATGCGGGAGCTCACGTCCATCCATTTCACTGTCGCGACGTTTGTGGCCACCGAAGCCATGACACCTACCGCCCACCGTCGGACGTACTCGTTTGGGCGGGCGCTGATACATCTGCCGTCGTCCATGACTCTCTTCGCCGTGCTCGGACGAGAAGCCCCGCCGACGCTCCGCGTGGACATGTCGCACCTCCACCTGTGTTGGCACTACCACGTGATTCAGGATCTGCTGGCGCTGGTCGTGGCGCCGCTGCCGCTACCACCCGTGGTGCCGTCCACGGCGCTGTTTCTGCATGTCCGGGTGCATGTAGGCTCATGGGAGTTTGTGATGAATCCGACAGGGGACACAGACATGGTCGTGACTGGCCACGACGTCGAAAGCACCGTCGAAGTATTGGAAAACGGCGACGTGTTGGTCGATGCGGCCGTGACGAACGTCGAGATGGGGACGACGACGGCACATGCATCAACTTTGTCATCGTCTGTAGCTCAAAACGATGCCGAGAGCCCCGCGATAACAACGCATGATAAACCTCACAAGCGCGTTCTTGTCACGTTACCACACACGAGCACGGTGCGGTACGAAGCCAGCGGAATGTACGCGCTGCAGGACCGGGATGGTGCGGCGGCCTTTCTGGACCTGATCGTGGCCAATGCACGCGTTACGTACGTTCATGGCCTGTATATGATGCTCGCAGGGTACATGGGGACGTACATCACGGAGTTGTTTACGTGGCTGTACTTGGCTCGCGAAGGTACCCCCGGCAAGACGACGATGGATCCGGCATTGTTGCGGTTGAAGGTGCAAGGGACAGTTGACGACATCACTGTGTGCTTTCCCTCGTCGCAGGAGGCTCGTGATGAGGCAAGCGGACGGGGCGTCGAGTTGGTGGCAACCAGCGTTCGATTGCACTCGAGTCGGTACTTGGACACCCCGTACGAGCAGCTGACGGTGGACGTGGCGTCCGTCGTGGCGGCGCCGTGGTGGACGGACGACAGCGTGTCGGTGCGCGTGCAGCATGTGCTCCAACTGGCACAAAACCGCCAGCTCATCACTGTCCATGTGCCTACTTTGCACGCAGCGCTTCACGTCCGCGCATTGGAGGAAGTCCTGACTGTCGTCGCGACGAGTTCCATGGCAGAAGGGGGTGTTGACTTCTCAGTGGATAGACCGCTTTTGGCCCTGGGAACGCCGTTATTACCGCCCGTCGTGGGAGTCGAAACGACCATGTCCATTGGTGTGGATTCATTCGAAGTGCAAACTGATGTGATTCCTTTGTCAAAGGCAAGTACGTCGACCCGACTGAGACTGGACGCGCTGCATGTGACAGTGCACGTGACGTCGACGAGTCATACTACGGTGGACGTGACGTGGCAGTGTCTCGAGCTGGCAGATGCCCACCAGCTGTGCCAGGTGCGGACGGCGGGACGACCCCGAATCGAGTTGGAGGTGGAACCCTCGGGCCAGAAAACCCTCGACGTGTCGTTGGATGGGTTGCATGTGGTTCCAGATGTAAAGGTGTTGGGGGAGTGGGTGGCATTTGGTCAGATGCTTGCTGCGTGCGCCAGTGCAGCTACCCCTTCCAAGGTGACGTCGACGTCATCCGCACCGTTGGCATCCGATCCGTTGTTGCTACACCCGTTGCACTTTCATATCAAGATCCACGCCGCACAGGTTCAACTGCACTCGACTGTCGAGTTCCAACAGAGGCAATTCCTCGTGCTACATACCGGCGTCAGCATCACATTTCACAAAGCCATCGTTCGCGTCGAAGGCCGAGGAATCGCCGTCGTGTTGGCGACCGAGTGGCCCCTTCCGTCGTCGCTGGTGCTGCCGGACGCCCTGCACTTGACCCTTCCAAACGGTCGGGCGTTGTGTGTGCCGTTTCAAGTGGACATTGACGCGGCGTCGTCAGCGCTGCAGGTGGTTCTGTCCCCCATCGACCTCGTGCTCAGTCCATCAGATCTGTGGCTGGTGTACGCCACGGGCATCAAGTATGCTGGTGCGTTCGGGTCGTCCACAGAGCCTTTGTCGTTTGGTGCATCGTCAGCATTGCAAGACTACTTTGTCAGTATGGTGGTATCGCAAGCGTCTGTAACCCTCGTCGCCCCCGACGGCACCAACAGCCCCCCGACCGACCAAACAGGCGGAGGACACCTCGTGCCCAAGATTCGCCTATATGGCCATCGCGCGCTGTTCAAACACTCGTGCAAGTCGGCTGCGACGACGTCCCAGTCCACAGACTGGAGCGTCACGTTCACGGACGACGCATGCGACAGCGTGGACGAAGGCATGAGCGTGTGGTGTTTTAACGGGGCGTTGGGGGTGTGGGAGCCGTGGGTGGAGCCGTGGGCGTTCCTGCTGTCCATGGTGCAGACGGTGGAGGACGACACGACGATTCACCGGGTTTGTTTTCACGGGTCCAAGCAGCAACAGTGTCGCATGAACGTATCGACTAGTGTCCTGGACTGCGTGGGGGCAATTGTCGTGCCGTTCCTGGCGTTGCTTGACAAAGAAGAAGAGTCCAAGACTGGTCTTGCTGCACCTACAGCCGACGTTGTCGCAGAGGACAGATCCACTCGGGATGACCTCCATGATGCAAGAGGACAACCGAGCAAGCCTGCAACGGCGTGCTGCGGAGTCTTTCTCTACAACGATACGGCGCTCGAGCTGGAGTACCAAGTAAACGACAGCGGAGATGCCAAACACGTGGTGCCCCCGCACACCCAGTCGGCGCTAGCCCTGCCCTGCCAGCCGCTTCTAGTGACGGACCACACCATCAGCCTCAGCTGGAAGCACACGTGGCTGCCGCTCCACGACGTCCGGCTGCACGCATTCAGTCAATCCGTGGTCGTTGTGCCCGCGATCAACAACAACAAGCAGGTCATGCCCTTGTTGTTGGACGTGGAAGCCCGCCACGGCCAACGGACGCTCACCATTTCGTCGATCGTCAAGGTACAGTATAAGGCCGATAACGTCAGTGCTAACCAACATATTTCAAATGGACGACGACTAGGTGTACAACGACTGCTCGGTGCCGATTCGAATTGGATGTATGCGCGACGGCAGCGCCATTGTCGACGCCGGTATATATATATATATATATCGTTTTGTGTATACTTGTTGTAATAGTCGTAGATCCCACAACCAGTGCAGGGTTGACCAAACTAACTATGGCGTAACTGGCAGGCATGGTGGCGCCGCTTGAAAGCAAAGGGCTGCCCCTGGAAATGTGCGAGTCACTGCACGGTCTCCGCCTCGTGGTTGGTCCTGTGGCCCCCACTTTGACTGAACCTGGACAGAAAGTGTACCAGTGGAGTGAAGCATTTGCGATCGACTCAGGGGAGACGTCGCTGGTTGCAGCATGTCCGCTCGCGGTTCTCGACACAAAGCACTGTCTGTGCATGCCGTCGTTCAGCACGACGTCACCGCAGCTGTCGTCTACATCCCAGCTGTGCAGTCATGGCAAAATGTACTTCAAAGTCGTCCTAGAAATGAAGACGGGAACAACTGGTCTATCTTTTGCGTCCGTGCGGGTGTTAGCGCCGTGCACGATGGACAACCAAAGCCCTGTGCCGCTATCGCTGTTGGTGTTTACAACGAAAAAGAAAAATTCGAGTACGCCGACCAAAGGGGGGGGGGGTCCCTTGCTCGACGAAGAGATCGAGCCCATCCAACTGCACCTTGTCACATCCACCGTCGTGCCCCCCCACTCGAAAGTGCACTTGTACCACGCGTCGTTGCAGTTCAAAACGTACGCGGCAATGGCCCTGGCGCCGCACCAGTGGAGCCAACTGCAGTCCATGGACAGAGAAATCGAGTCAATTGTAGCGTTAAAGGATCGTCAAAGCCGGATTCACGCGGTGAATTGGCACTCGACGACGCTGCATCACCAGCTGGCCGCGACCGTGTGGCCCACATACGTGCTCAAGGACGAGTCCAAGCTGCACCTACTGTTTGACGTGGAGCTCACGGCGAAAAAGTCGCTGTCGTCGATGCTGCACCTATCCAACTCGAAAAAGTACTCGTCCAGAGATAACCCCTTGTCGTGTGCCACGGATGCGTTGGAGACGGATGTGATCGAAGCGACCCTTGAAGTGCTATCTGAGATGATGGCGACGACTCCCCCGGTACTACGATTTAGTTGGCTTGTAGAGTAGCTTGGGTCGATGCTGTGTGACAAGGTTGGGTTTGGGGGATATGCGACTGTGTATATGGTGGTTGTGGGTGCATTTGTGCTTTACATTTCTCATGTTTGCGTGGTTATATTAATATATATAGGCCTCGGACGACCCTTCTAAAGTCGACACCACGGAGGATGTTTATCCGTATTTATTGTCTGGCACGTCGCACGTCACCATTCGACTCGATCCCGTTCGCGGCATGCGCACGTCCACCGCCGCCATCCACCTCGAAGCAATCAGCGACTCGGTGCAAAACTGCCACCGCCTCTTCTCCGACGCGCGCAAAGAGTGGCACGATCTCGGCGTCCGGATGACGCTGACTTCGCGGGCTAAGATCGTCACCATCCACCCGCGATACATGGTTTTGAATGCGACGCCGATTCCGTTCCTGTTGTGCCCCACCGCGCTCGTCAATAAGACTGCCGCCGCTGCCCCGCCGCCGCCATCAGGGGACCCCCCCCGAACGTCGTCGTTTTCTACACCTCGTCAAAACAACGCGACGGACCGGGTCGTCGGCGCCCCCCCCGCCGGCATTTGGACGTTTGCCCCGAACGCCCCATTCACGCCGTTCCACTGGTCGTCCATGGCCGACCCCACCGACTATTCTGTGCGAACCAAGCCAGGGGAGGTAATATATAATGACATACATGTCGTTCAAGCGAGGGAAAGTAAGGACAGCTACCCCTCCTCCTTGTTCCGTTGAACAGGACCAAAGAATAGGGACAGTTGATATTCTATGGGTGTGTTTCTAGTCGGCTGGGTGGAAGTGGAGCGGCAAGTTCAATTTGCATCAAGTGGGTGAGACCGCGCTGAACGTGATCAACAAGGCCACGGGTGAGGTGCATGTGGTGCGTATCCACATTCGCGTGGTGCTGGCGACGCAGATCTGGGTCGTCGTGTCGTTGGAAGGGGAGGCATCGCATCCTCTGTACCGCCTAGTGAACCGCACATCGATGCGGCTGCAGTTCTGGCAGCAGTTTGACATGGACCCGGGGTACGTCCGGGAGGTGGGGGCGATGGCGGACGTGTGGTTTGGCTGGGACGAACCGTACGCGACCGACGACCGAACTGTGATTGTGAGTGTACCAAGCGAGTCCAAGGCGGCGGCGGCGCGTGTTGTGGTCGATCAGATCAACGACATGGTGCAGACAATGCAAGTGGGTGCCGTGGAGTTGTACGTGCAAGTGTATTTGGACGGACTCACCAAGGTGCTCGACGTGAGTGACCGCCGGTCGACAAGGGACACCCTCATGCGGATTGCGGCAACGGCAGCCCCGACAAACATCCGGTACGTGGTGGACCTGCTGCTGCCGTCGCTCGTGCTGGCACTGGTCCACGGACAGGGGGAGGTGGTTGTTGTGACCATCGGCGACAGCTCCGTCATTGGCGGGTACACCCCCGACGGCAATGAGATTGAAGTCAAGGTGCAAAGCGTCCAAATCGACAACCAGCACAGCAAGGCGTGCCCAGTGTTGTTTGCCCCGAGCAAGTATGGGATGTATATAATATATACACATATGACGTGGACTGAGGGCGGCGTTGGGTAGGGATGACGGGGGTGGGGGGGACAAAGGGGTTTCGAAACCCAAAGAGAATGCGATACTGAATGCGCCAGACATGGCGCCGTTTCTTCACGTGTCGATCGTGCGGTTGTTTTACCACCCTGACATTGAATTCTTCAAGGTCTGTACAAGATGACGTTATCCCATCATGGGTGGGATGTATGTGTGACGTGGTTTTGTAGTACTTGTCCGTGTTAATGCAGCCCGCGACGTTGCAGTTGGACGCGTCCATCTTGTTTACGCTGGCGACGATGGTGTCGGACTGGCTCAAGGTCGTCATAGCGTACTTCCCTCGACTGTTTGTGGACAAACCTGTGACGACGTGCGTGGCGCACAAGATGCAGAGCGAGCCCCGCGTGTACTTTGAGACGCTGCAGCTGCATCCGCTCAAGCTGTGTGTGACGTTTACCCAGAGCACGTTGCCATCTCAGGTGTGACAACGTCATTCATGATATTATCGTTCTTTTACCCCAAATATCGACTTTTGTGCTGATTCTTTGCCAAATCTATCGATCGATTGTTTGTACTACTACTGACGCATTGTGTATGTAAAGATAGATCGTCCAGTAGTATCGTACGAATTCCAGTGTCACACTAATTCGGTGTTGAAGAGTGGATCATTTGATTGGTCACTTGATTATTCGTGTTGTGGGTTTTGATTGGTCGTATATCGATTGTCTGGATTTGGTGATTCTGCGAATTTCGATTAATCGACAATATGTCGAATTTCGAATAATCGACAATATGCCATCGTAATGACATGTTGGTCTAGGCTGAAGACGTGATGGCGGTAGTACCGGGTATGTTTCGCATTTTGCAAACGCATTTGGCCAACATTGACAACGCCCCTCTCCACTTGAATGCTTTGGTATGCGTCCCCATATACTACTAGTACTAGTACTTTATATCTGGCGCCGTTCTATTATTGGTAAAGTACTTGAATATCATTAGCACATTTTCCATTCGTACACGTCGCTGGCGCTGTTGGTGTCGTCCGTGCGCCAACACTATACGAGCCAATCGTTGCGGCAGATTTACTCGTTGATTGGGTCGGCCGAGATTCTAGGCAACCCCCTCGGGCTCGTGTCCAACTTGGGTATGGTGTAATGACGTCATCCAAGGTGTGTGTGACGTTATCCGATGACGTGAGCAGGGTGCGGCGTAAAGGACTTTTTCTACGAGCCCGCAGCCGGCATGGTGCGCGGCCCAGGGCAGTTTGTCAAAGGGCTAACCAAGGGCACGGAAAGCCTGGTGAAAAATTCCGTTTACGGCACATTCAACGCCGCGAGCAAGCTCACGGGCAGCATCTCCACGGGTCTGGCCACGTTGTCCATGGATAAAACGTACATTCAGTCACGGATCAACCGACCCAAGAAGGATGGACCAACGAATGTGGGCGCGGGGCTGCTGCTTGGCACCAAGCAACTTGGACAGGTACGCAAAGATAGATATTTTTTTCGAATTATAACAGCATCGAATATGGGGCAGGGCATCCTGGCGGGGGTGTCGGGGATCATTACACAGCCAGCGATGGGCGCGTACCACAATGGCCTGACGGGGTTTGTTGAGGTGGGAAATAATATTACCATATCACTATAATGTGTTGGTTATTATACGGGAACGTAGCTAGCTAGCTACCCTCGATTGTGTATTTGCTTCTTTTGGAGTGAGATACAAATATATACCAGTATATATATCTAGAACAAGCCTATGGACTATGAATATATATATATATATATATCATTTCAAAAGAAGAAATACATGTGCAATATGGAATCATTTTGGAAGGATTGAAGAAATTATGTATCATTCCAAGTACAGCATGTATATATATATATTGCTAAAGCGGCGAAATTCTCATACTCGAGTGGCTGTCTGTACCTAGGGCGTTGGGAAGGGTATTCTGGGTGCGGCAGTGAAACCCACGGCGGGGATATTGGATTTGGCCGCGCAAACGACTGCCGGGATCACGTACTCCGCCGCATCTTTCGACAAGAAACCCAAGCTCACACGCGTGCGGCTGCCTCGCATGATGACAACAGCCGACAAACGACTGACAGTACGTTCAATACTTCAGCTATAGTTGGCAGCAAATAGAAACAAAGTCCAGTTGACATAAGGGATGATATTGATTGACTATATATATGTCGCTGGCTTGGTTTGGTCGACATGTCATGTGCTTTGACTTGTGAGTGTGATGACGAAATAGATGTACTCGGCTCAAGAGGCGTCGGTGGCGTGGTGGTTGTCCAAGTTGCCAGCTGGTACGTTGAGTCCGTCGGAGCAGTACGACACGCATGTGCTGCTCCCGTCGAACCGCGCGCTGGTGGCGACGTCGCATCAGCTCATGGCGCTGGACATGACGGCCAAGCCGCGGGTGCTATGGGCGTACCCGGTATGGAATGTCCGCAGCAGCCACAGCACGGACGACAGCGTCCAGCTGTGCATTTCCCACGGTGACGACATTGGTGACAATAAACTCGTCACGGTGCAGCTCAACTTAACCGGAGACGACCGAGACCGCGTCGAGGCTGTGGTGTGCAAACTCGTGAGTCGTCGTCACCGCCACAGCGACCCGCCATCAAAAGTTGTGTAGCTCGTTGAGTATGAAAACTACTGCAATATCAATGGAAGTCACGATGCAAGGATGTATGGTGTCGTAACATCATGGAGTGTAGTAAACTAGACGCAAATTATTAGGTGGATAATGTAAATGATTAGGTTAGAGCACGAGGATGGAGGGCGGTAGGTTGTGAGTCGAGTGCCATGTACATGGCATAGTCGACAATGGTGTGAGCCGGGCGGAGCTTGGACCTGTCTTCGTGGGCGTACGCCCCACGGATAAACGCGGCTTTGCTGAATCGATCGTTGTCTTGCCACGTATGAAGGTGCGCGTGTCGAGAAGGGGGGTCGGATGATGTGGTGGGGAAGTCTAGCATGTCTTCGTCCTTGGCAACCCCAAAGTCGCGGGTGCAGTGGTTGATGGCGATGTGGCCTGCGTACATGGACACGACGCCGATGTGCCACTGCGGCCAGCCCTTGATGCCATATTCAGGGCTCTTCTCTTCGTCCGTAAACTCGTTTGCGTACAAGTACTGCATCACAGACATGGACAAGTTGGCACACGTCCGCACAAGAGACGTGGGGCCGTACCATGTGGACCCCACGTTGTCCAAATTCATCGTGGTCAAGTTGAGCGACGAAGTGATGGACGCTAGGCGGTCGCCGGTCGTGAAGCCCAGACCCAAGTACGACCCCTCGCCCACGACCATTTTGGGTGGCCTCCACGTGGCAAACGCTGGGGTCAGGAACGTGTCGACGTCAGTACGAAGGACCCAGTCGTACATGTCGAGGTCGGTCCCGTTCAACCCGACGACGTTCACCGAGTCAGCAAACTCGTACGGAAACGCGTCCGAGTACACGCTCGTGTACGTGGGGTGGAGGATGCACATGTTGGCGTCGTCCCGGGACGTCCGCCGCGATGTGGCGCTGCAATTGAGCGCTTCCAGGGCGGGCGAGTTGCCGTCGCTGTACACGACAATGTCTGTGCGCCAAGTCGGCGGCTCGGCCTTTTGCATTTCGAGCCACGACCGACGAAACCACCGGAACTCGATTTCGAATTCGGGCTCGTGCGACGGGAGGTAGAGCACCGCAGCGCGCACAAATGACGACGCGCCCCCTGACCCGGCGATGGCGCTGATCCACGAGAACGGATCGTAACTAGAGATGAAGTGGCTAGCGGAGGTCGAGTCGCCAAAGATGTGCTTGTGCCACGACCTCACCGCGTGATGCACTTGAGCAACGTCCACGTCAAACACGTAGAAGCGTGCGGCGAGTTGCACGATCATGAGGACGAGAACTCCGACGACAATGCGCCGCATGGTCCAAGGACGACCACCTCGGACAGGGGCTGCGGTGTCCTCTAGCAGGGTGTCCGTCAGAATCGGCGAGGACGGCTCGTCCTCGGTCGTGGGCATCAGAAGTGCACTTGTGAATTGAGTTGACCATGTCAGATTTAGTTTTACCCTCTGGTAAAGGGTAGAAGTAACGGGAAAGGACTTGCAATAATATAATGCCATTTTCTCTATTCGAGTTAGATATACAGGAAGTCGCGCCGTTTCACTGTCAAAACTGAGCAGTTCCGGATATTTCATTACTTTTGCGGATGCAATATTTTTATTGAAGTTTTTGTGGTATTACCGGTAATACCGTTACCAGTAACTCGGACGACATGTCGACATGCGCATAAAACGTTATCGAAAATGGTCGAACTTTGATTTTGACGCTTTTCTCGAGCTGTGTAATACTTAGAGAGCAATACTACTCGTACTATAAGATAGTTCATTACTAGCTCAGCCTATGCAGCATGGTCTGTGCATACACGACTCTCTCTGGTATGAGGCATCTTACCCGCATGTACAGTACTGCACATGCTTATTCTTGAAATATACGTATATAACCAACTTGGCGAGTTCCCACGAAGTTGTCTTTCTCTACAGCTGTTGATTCACGCGCCGTGCAATAAGGTGTTCTTGATAGTATTGGTTGTTGTTATGAGGAATGGAGAGTTCCGTGACCCGTTGCCTAGTATCATTGAGAAGTCGCTGACCTGCATCGCGCCTTTCCCGCATGTACAGCATGCACAATCTGCAGGATGTAAGCATTCGTCGAGAAATCTGCACATTGGGGTATTGTCGAGTTGTGAGTGGTTGAAATTATTACTAGTATCCCTTTAGCCAACGAAACACGACACATGAGTTGGTACAGCCAACCAACTTTGGAGATTACAGTACAGTAGTTAGTAAACTTACTACGTAGTATGTGGGGTGTGATCCAGGCCCACCCTGAAACAATGTAAACTTCAATGCAGTGTTCCCAAATTGCCAGAATTTTGAATGGAAGGGAAAAAATAATAATAATTTTAAATAGCTGTAAAAACGATAGCTCAATTTGACGCTTCACTTAAGCTTGGACGCAATTGCACTTCGTCCCGATATGGTTTGGTTACCCCAAATTTCTAACGTTATGCGAATCAAATAGGACAATGAGAAGTTGTGTATATTAGCTTCCCGGTAGGTAGTGTACAGTAAGTACAAACAGTGATGACATCGCTGTAGTAAGTCTGCATCCAAGGGGTGGTTTACTGTGGGTTTAAATTAACCAAATATGCACAATATCCTCAGTAATTATCAGTCATCACATTAACGTTAATGTAGAAAGTTGGAGACAAACGATGTGCTGGCACTCTACACACTCTTCGATTCGCAATCGTCCCAACATCACACAGAAATTCGGTCGATACATTACTATTTTAATAGTAATGTATCGACCGAATTTCTGTACTACCAGTAGTACATTGTACTATTAAAATAGTACAATGTATTAATACTAGTACTATAATATGTATTAACTGTAAGCCATCGGTTACGTGACAACCGAAGTTCGAAGGCACGTTCCTGACACAAACAGTCGTTTCGGATTGCGTAGAGTGCCAATACATCGAAGTTCGAAGCTCCAATGAAATGATATCATGCCAACCTGTACGCCACTTCACAAACATCCACACCGCTAAAGGTGCTGCTGCTGTCCATGGAACGTCCTCCAGCAGTCGTCGTCACACGCATGGCACAAACGCAATTAATCAAGCCAGCATCTGAAGGTAAGTCGCTCGGTTGCTCTACCTCTCCTCACTCCAAGCTTTGCTTGCGCAGCTGCGCCGTACGGCACCTTTGTCCCCACGCTAGTAGTAGTACGTACTGTACATGCCTTTCCCGACGCGACTCAATGCATCGCTGTAGGACAGCACTGTCGCCAGCACCAAGTGGGTCATGGTCGCCATACTATCGATGCTGTCGTGCTTGAATCAAGCCATTTGCTACACATATGCCCCAGTCTCGCATTTTGCCGAACAAGGGTGGCACCACACGGTGACATCTCCGAGAGATGGTCATGTTGATGTGTAGAAGTTTCTCACTGGGTCGATTGGTTGATAGATCACGTGCACGACGCTCATCACAGTGTACTTTGTCGCATACATCCCGTTCGCGTTTATCGGGTCTTGGATCATGGACCACCGAGGCCTTCGCTTTGGGGTATAACCTCACTCACGACCATTTCTATGACGTTTTAATGTTCGACCACTCTATGACGTTATCAATGCCGTTATAGGTTCTTTTGGGTGCGGGACTGCAAGCCGCTGGCGCGTCGTTGCGTGTCGTTGGTGACTGGATCGACCCTTCGTACCAACTGTACTTCCTCTTTGGGGGTCAAATGCTGGCTGCCGTTGCAATGCCGTTTATGGTACGTCATTTTTTTTCCCATTTTCCATATCAGCATGCACACTGAACGATACATAAACTCGAGATTGACGCTCGTTTTGTAGGTAAACTCGCCGCCCATGTTGTCTGCGCTGTGGTTTCCGCCGTCGCAACGGGCCATGGCGACGTCTGTAGCCGTCAACTGCAACCAACTCGGCATTGCCTTGGTGTACGCAGCTTGCTGTTCTCATTGAGTACTTCGCCTGACATCGACTTGTTCAGGTACATCTTGTGCCCATTAGTGGTAACGTCTGTCACCGACATCCCAAACTGGACCTTGCTGATTGCCGCTCTTTCCATCGCTGCATTCGTGGTGACCATCTTCTGGTTCAAATCGTCTGCCAAGTTCCTCAACGTTGACGACGACGTGTCCTACGACTGGCACCAGTGGCTCAACGCGTTCCACCACGACGGGTTCTTCCTCACCGTGTTTGTCTTTGCCGTCGCGGAGACCGTCACGAACGTCCTGTCGTCGCTGCTCAACCACATCCTCCGCGCCGATGTCTTCACCAAGGTACACCTTATTTCGTTCCTTATCTCGTTCCTTGTGGATAATATGTTCGATTGGTCTGATTGTTGTTTACTTGCATGTGATTGGTCAGATTGAGATGGAACTTGTTGTGGGATTGGTCCGATTGAAGTTGAAGTTGTGTATAATTGGCCAGATTGAAATCGAACTTGTGTGTGATTGGTCGGTTTCTTGTGGCGGATTGTGGATTATTGAAGGCGGTGATCAGTCAATTTACTATGAATGTAGGCGCAAAAAGGGCTCATTGGTGCTGCGTTCATTGTCAGTGCCTTGGTTGGCGGTCAAGTTGTCAGCGGATACATCGATGGCACACAGCTGCACAAAGTGGCGTTGGTCGTGTGTCTTGTCGTCACCGGTATGTATTAGACCATCAGTATTATCATTCAAGATGGGTGACGACAATTGCATAGGCGTGAGCTTGGTGGCATTTCACTTTGCTGCGTCAGCAGTGTTTTCCGGTCAAATGTATGTGACCATGGCGTGCCTCATGGTAGCGGGGCTGTTCCTTGGTCCTCTGCAGCCCATCTCACTCGAGCTCGGTATGCATGATCTTTATCGTCCATAATGGTTCATATCAATGCACGTGGCTGCTAGGGGTCGAGTGCGCTCACCCGACTACCGAAGCGACGGTCGCGGCCCTCCAGCAACTTTGCGGCAACTTCCTCTCGGCCGTGCTAGTCCCCGTCCTCGGCAGTATCCAGCATGCCGCGGATGAAGTGCATGCGCAGCAAGCCGCCGGTCACGAGGCGTCGTACTGGATGGAAACTTTCATCACACCCGAAGTCGTGTTGAGCGTGCTTGTGTTTATCGTGGCGTCGGTCTTTTGCGGCTTGTAAGCAACTATCTCCATCATCGTTTGACCGTTCGAGTAACTCATGGCGCTCGTTTGTGTGTGCAGCGGCGGCAAGTTCAAACGGTCGGCGCTGGAAGGCCAACATGGGTTATAAAAGTGTATGCGAATGGTCGCCAATTCGACAGCAAGGCCCAATTGAAGGCTCAAATCCTACAATCGTGGGCCAAGAGAGTACTTATCAACCCTAGTTGAAGGTATGCCTACAAGAATGGCCCAAGTTATCCTTTGTCGTGGACAATCAATTGATAAATAGAAGTTATCCTTTGTCGTGGACAATCAATTGATAAATAGATGTTAATCAAAAAGTGCGTCTATAATTTCTTTTCAGTCATTTTTTTGAAAATTGTAGATTTCTTGAGAATTGAGACTGTGCCCAACTCCTTTTGCGGGCCAAGTTTTGTAACAGTTTCAAGTGAACTGAGAGATAGTGATCCACAAAATAGTACGGTACTCCTTTCAAACTGGAAAAATCTAGGGCGCGTCACTAATTCTTTTCGGACGTATCCAATCAACGTGCGATTAGTATGTACTATTAATAGTAGTGTACTACTACTACGTTAGTACTGTACAACCATGGCCTGCCACACTAAATATAGTACTACAATTATTATATAATACCTGGTACTATTTGTATACTACCAGGTCATAGACTCCAGAGCTCAGAGTCAGGACGATGCGAGGACTTGGCCAAACTGTAATTTCCAGTACTGTATTGGAGATTCGGTATGATTTTCTGGACCCTGTTCAATCGAATCTCGCCGAGCGAATCGAGCACCAATTTCTCCCATTGGTCAATCCGAAATTACTTGTCGCTGATTGGCTACAATCGAGTTTCTACTGGAAAGTGCACAGTGGATATTGACCAATCAGACGTCTCGGCTCTATTTGTGGTCGATTGAACGAACCATGCAAAATTGGGAAATTTGAAGAAAATCGACAATAACTCCAGCACCACATTTCTACAGTGTAGTGTCAGCTGCGACCGTTGATCATCCACAGAATTACAACATATTCGTCTCACGGTCAGGAGCGGGTTCATTCTGACGTCGTCGGGTTTCGAATAAGCAACGACGATAGACAAAGTAATTAAAATTATATTTTTTCTTCCGACATACTGGTAGTGTTGTGGAAGTATGAATAAATAGCGCCCTATTATCACACCAATGGTAATCTCACGTGGGGCTTGGGCAAGGAAGGGCGTGTCGTACAGACGGCCGACATATGGCCAGCACTAGACATACACGACACTGCGCTCCACTCGGAGCTTGGTTTTGCTTGTCGGCTTCTGGAAATCGATATGGCTGATCCCTTAGCCTCGAAACTGGACGGGTTCAGTGGATGACTGCATAAACTCGGACGCCATGAGCTGCTTCATGGTCATGCGCTTGGCCGGGTTCACTTCCAGCATGCGCTCCAGCATGTCCGTAACATGGTCGGGGAACAAGTGGTCCATATTCCACCATGCGAGCATGCATCCGAGCCCGTTTTCTTGAAAATACTCGAAGGTCGGGTCGTCGACGTTGGCCTTCTTGAACAGCGGGGTGCCCGTGATCATAATGAACAGCATGATCCCGAGCGACCACACGTCGGCCGGCCCGGGCGCAAAGCACGCCTTGAGGTACATTTCCGGCGCCATGTAGAAGAACTTGCCCACAGCGTCCACCTTGACCTTGTTCAAGTCGGCGGCCAGCCCAAAGTCGCACAGCTTGCACTCGCTCTGGCTGTTCACGAGTACATTTTCGAGCGAGAGGTCGCAGTGCGCGACGCCGCGGGCGTGCATGAACGACACCGCGCTGGCGATCTGGAAAAAGAACTCTTTCGATTGAGGGAGCGACAGCCGTCCACTGGGGCAGTTGATCACCAGGTCAAACAATTCGCCCTGGGAGCAGTATTCAAGCACCAAATGGTCTTGACCGTTCTCCTGGAAATCCTTCAACAACTGCAGAATGTTGGGGTGGCAGCCGCGGTCGCTCAGCTGGCGCATGACCTTGCGCTCCATGGCGGCATCTTCGTGGACCGCATGGTTGCCCTTGATGGACCGTTTCTTTGCGATCGCCTGCGTCGACATGCACTTGACGGCGACTTTGGCCATCGTGTTGTTGTCCACGCACAGAAGAACCTTGCCGTAGATGGCGGGGGCCAACTGCTTGATGATCGTGTAGTGAGCAAGAGACATGGAAGATGGAACGAACACTTCTACCGCCGTTGACCGAAAGTTGAAAATGAAGCTTTCTCTCTTTCGACAACACGGTACACTCGGACAAAATGCAACGAAAATCCAGCGATGCCATTGGCCCGTGCCACTTGAAGTTGGGCCACGTTTTCTGTAACCAGCATATCTTTACCTAAAAATATGACCACGTCATGCTGAGATTTGAGAGACTGGAGCTGTGACGAAATGGGGGCAGTGAAGCTACAAGGGCTGGCTAACAGAGAGCTATGGAGAGCGCATCATGTATGTATGGTACAAGTACTGTAGCTGACGTGAACTAGTATGTACTACAACTGTACGGTAGTACTAGTGTATAGTACTCGAAGTACACCGCATGTCGCGATTGCAATTTCTTGTGGGTTTCAATCCAACCCATACTTGCATATACAAATTGCCATAGAACATTGAAGCATTTGTGCAGCCCAGAAGGCCGATTTTTCATACGACGACGCATTTGTCGTATATGATCTCATGTTAGTTTAATATGAGTAATGTAGTACGACGAAGCGTTTTGCAGTGAAGCATGTGATATATGACGTCGTCGTTCTCAGACAGGCTCCATGTCGTAGCCGTAGCCGGTGGTGATTGGCTCGCGCATACAGTACAGTACTACTTCGAAGTACTACGTACTCCGGAGTACATATTATTATAACGTAGTACCAGTACTGTACTACGTAGTACTTCGAAGTAATTAGGATGCTATGGTGCACGTCATCTATAAACTACCAACTTTTCACAAAATTTTCTGACTTCTATTTCATATTCATTACTCAAAATTGCAGCAAATTGAGACGTATAATCGTCAGATCTCAATGTGGTGAAGAAATTCTACGTCTCAGATTCAAATTTGGTGATGAATTGGTCCAGAAATAGATATTTAACCTAGTGGTATTTTACATGGGCGCTTGGATATGGCCATAGGGGTGGCCGCTCAAATGTATCTTGATTTTTGTATGTGACTCTTATCCGTATTTAATATCCGGAGGCAAGGGGGACCTTTAACCTCCCACTCCAGTGATAAAACGCATGAAATCGGTATTTAACGTATCTGGATTTTGGGTTTAACTACATTAATTGCACGTTAAATAATAAAACCTCCACTCTTCAATTTGGCCAGTTGGAAGTTTTTAGATGAAGTGCACCATATGTGTCGACATTCGGGCTGAGCTCCTTCGACGGGGAATACATGTAATGATGTGCACAAGAACGTCGTGGCAAAGACGTCTTAACGTCATAAGGAACGGTAAATATGTGTGTGAGTTACACCACCAGCAAATGCATCCACAAAGCAAACCGTATGGTCTCGCTCGCGCTTACGGTCGTCGGTCTCACCTAGCTTTTCACTACTGTACGTATCGAAGTGTTCTTACCGTGGAGCTATAAGTCCCAAGTGGCGCACCTTGCATGCCAAACACTGGACTTCAGTCGCCATTATAGATAGACGCACACAAACCCATACGTGGAACCTGCAACGAACAGTGCAAAACTTCTGACGTTTGGTCTGTCGTTGCCCAGACCAAGTTATCCAGCCATAAAGGCTTCGAACACTACTGCAGTCATAGCTAGGGGCTTCTACGGGGGCCCCAACATTTCATTGCTGAACTTCAAGTCGGAATCCCAGCACTTCCCCGCGGATTAAAAATATCGCTGTCATAACATGCTGTTGCAATTGGCATGGCAATTATTTCAGTTTTTTCCGCGGCACGACGGCCAATGACATGTTGGGATATCGACATATCGTTGTACTAGTAGACATTTTTCTCACTGAAGGTAGGTCGTGCGGTCGCGGGTACAGGAGCGAGGGGCGCCCATGCCGCTCAATGTAACGTCGTTGTTATGTAGTTCGTCATACCCTCCATAAACGTTGGCCCTTAGTTTAACTTCCTGTTAGTTTGAGCCAAAGTAAAAAATATGATCGATGATTTTGAAGGAGGCACTCAACGACTGGGATTAATTTAGCTATAAATAACATATCTTGAGCGGTCAAGTTTAGCTCAACATGGACGGGTTCTTCTTGGAGCGCAAAAAGGTATCCATCCAGCCAAAAACGTCGTCGTCGACGGGGGGCAACGGGATGTCTTCGTACACAAAGTCGTGGACCAGCACTTCGTCTAGCGTCATGCGGGTCAACGGGTTCGGATCCAGCATGCGGCACAAGAGGTCGAGGGCCTCGGCGCTGAACAAACTCTCCATCCGCCACGCCGACACGATCGCGCGCAAGCCGAACGTTTGAATGAAACGGAACGTGGGGTCACTCGAGTGCGCCTTCTGCACCAACGGACTGCCCGTGACCATGATGAACAGCATCATGCCGAGGGACCACACATCCGCGGCGCCAGGCGCGTAAAACTGCAGGGTGTACATTTCTGGAGCCATGTAGAACGGCTTGCCCACGCCGCCAGTCTTCCATTCGTAGAGGGATGCGGCCAGGCCAAAGTCGCACAGCTTGGCTTGCCCTGCCACGTCCACGAGGACGTTTTCGAGACTCAGGTCGCAGTGGGCGTACCCGTGGCTGTGCATGTACTGCAAGCCACTGGCCACTTGGCGCAAAAACGTTTGTGCGGCGGGGAGCGCGAGACGGTCTTGCGCACTGACGACGTCAAACAGTTCGCCTTGAGCGCAGTACTCGAGGACGAGAAAGTCATGGCCGGCGTGTTGAAAGTCGTTGAGCAGGCAGAGGACATTTGGGTGCCCGCCGTCCGCGCTGAGCGTGCGGAGCACCTGCTTCTCCATCGCCACGTCTTCGTTGACGACAATGTTGTCTAGCAGCGACAACTTGGCTTGGGACGCTTGCATGTTCATGCACTTGATCGCTACCGGTGTCTGTGTGTAGTTGTCCACACACAGCAGCACGCGGCCAAAGATAGCGTTGGCAAGTTCGCGGATCTGTGTGTACTGCGGCTGGAGTTTGTGAGGGTAAAGGTCTTGGGTGGTGTGTGGCATCGCCATGTCCATCATGCTAGTTGTGGTTTTGGGGTTGGTAGGGGATTCACGAATGGCTCCTTGGATGGTTCGGGCATGTTGACTTTCGATGGTGCACTGGTAACGGAGTGCAGAAAACAGGTTGCATTTCCGAGATGCACCAACCGACCATATGCACACCTCTTACGGTAGACATGTGGGGGGCCCCATGTATTTTGTCATCGAAAGTGCCGTTGAATCTAAAAATAGGGGGAGGGGGCACCTGCCCGAACGACACCAACGTTAGCTGTGCGTTCGTTTCGGGTCAGGATGGTGGGTACTCAATGGAACTCAAGACGTGTCACCACCAAGTGGGATGGTACCATAAAGTTGCGCCAAGCTTTCTGGGTTCACTGACCCTTGGCTGCCCATAAGGTTGGCTGCCAAGAAGCGGACACTACAGCCAAGTACGTAGTACTGGACACGCCTTGCCTGATGACGACATCAGAGTCTGTATTTCATGGGCGTCCACGAGACATTAACGTGTATTGCTGCAAATATACACACGACATTTCCCATGGTATTGCCGTTACATGTCGACCTGGATGGATACTGGGTAGAAGGTGCTTGCTATAAATAAATATAAATGCACAGATCCCCTGCAAAAGATGGAACACCACATGATACAAGGTCGACCCGTTCATGGAAGTACGACATGTGCAAGGCGGTAAGACTGGCGACGGACGCGAGGAACACCACTGTATACATTTACATACAGTAAAACGGGAACATGCTGCTTTATAGTTGTCGGACGACTGAAACGCTGTGCGAAAAACGCTGCACCGGTTTGGCTGGATATTTCACCAATGCCTGGTCCTTACAAAACCACAGAATATGGATTGTTTAACCTATACTTTGTATCGAACAAGAATCGCATTTGATCTATGTATGTCATTGTAACTGCAAATTTGCACAAATTACATACGCATGTGTGGGCGGGGTCGCCACTGACCGTGCTGACGAGATGGGTGGACAATAAATCGTCCTCTCCGAGTCAACACAACGACACCCCCCCCTGTCTCCTGGCTTAACAGTCATTGTCCGTTGGGTTGTTTGTATGTCAACTTGCATAACTTACAGTACAGTTTGCTATCTGGCTTTTTATTCATTTCCATGCAATGCTCAAAATTATTGGCCTGATTCTATTTTTTTCGAATCTTTTGGAAGATAGATAGTGAGTAGACGGGTACAGTACAGTGTATTTGCCGTTTTCGGCCATGTTTCGTCAAATGTCGTTCACCAGAAGACTCGCATCAAAATTGTTGTCACATGATTACATATCTCGAAGTACATCGCATTGTTGTGTAGTATGGATGGCTATGCAACCACGACTAGGTCAGTGTCGTCGGTGGCGCCAACTGCCGAGCTCCGGCGATGAAGTCCGAGCGCAATGATCGACGCCGCTGCCATTCGAAATGGACTCTTTATTGGCGTGTCAGTGTCCTTGGATATCGCCTAGAACAGAGTCAGCAAAACGTGCAGTCATTACCCCATACATTACATAGTACCATCGAACCACTGAGTCGTCGCAGCAAGACAGAGCTGGACGTGCGGCGCAACAGATGACTGGCAGCCTCGTCCTGAGACATCTGTGGGGTGACCGGTGCATGGAGGTTGTACGTTTCCTGAGACTTCTCCGACTGCATGTTTGCAACGGCGTCGGTTAGGGTAGCCACCGCGTGTTCGACCGCCTGCGCTGTCGCGAGTTGAGTAGCGTGGATGGCCTCTGCGCGGGCAATGGAATCTCTCAGAGTCGACGAAAGGTCGTGCAACGCCGCTCGGAGCACTTGGTTGTCTCGCTGAAGATTAGCTATTTGAGCTGTATGGGTTTCGCCGCCGGCTCTCATGCAGACCACAAGCGTGCCCCCCATCATGACGAAAGGCACGAGCCAAGCTTGTAGCGCCCATAGGACATATGATGGCCATGGCAGCGTTTCGTGATTGACTGGCAACGACACGGGGCTACCAGTAGGATGTGGACTCCGCCGTGTGATGCTGCCCTTGGCGCTTGGGTGGCGCAATGTGGGTGCTGGAATGGCTGACTATGACCTGGCGTGTGAGAATCAGACCACCTTAGGTGACAACGTACATAATCACGAGGCTGTGATGTGTTGGACAGCAACTGGATTGCTGATGGAATCGAGTGGTCGAGCAGATTGAAATCGGAACGGGTTGGTACCACCACGTCGAGTGAAATGTCTCGATGGGATGGTTTTAGTGCTGGGGCAGCTGTAGTGGACACGACGTTGGTAGGTCGTTCGAGAGCGGGATCATTGCAAACTGGCCACCGAGGGGGTGGCTGGGGGCTGCCGAGGTTGCCATAGATGCGAGTGGTGGCCGGGCACATTGACTTGTGAAACGATGTATTGGGTTGTTGCGCAATTATCGATGGTACTTGGACGATCGTTCGTTGATCATTCGTTGGCACAACCCACATGTGACGACGGTGGTTCAGATACGTCATTGTGCGACTGAACTCGAGTTTCAACGTCATCATGCAGCTGTCTCGCTGTGTCGAAGGTACGGTGATGATCGTACGCGTGAGGTAGCTGCACACGGAACTTGCAATTTCGACCGGGGTGGTTGGAACGACTGACCACGACGACGTTCCTTCGTCAATGCGGAGGTATGAGAACTGGTACAAGGTGTCCCAGGAGCCCGAGATGGCGTTGATCAAGGCATCGCCAGTGGCTCGCGACAGACTGTGTTGCAAACAATACTTGTTCAAGTGCGCATCTATCGTGGTCGTCCCGACTGGCACAGGGACGACAAGGGGCGACTCACCAAAGAACACTGGGAGCAGGAGAGCATCTCCATCAACGTATCCTTGTGATTGGGTAGCATGGACTGCCGCTGCCCACACGAGCACGAGCCGAAGTACGCTGTTGTTGCATTGCATGTCAATATTTAGGACTGTAAAGATCGCGCCCCAGATCTTTGACTGTTCGCACAATACGGATAACAAGGCCTAGAAACCGGATTTGGGTTAAGGCCAATCGGACGTTTTATTCATTTACAGAGGTTTGTATCCCCTACCACGACGTGATCCACGGAATTTAGGCAATGCCGAGCATTGACAGCAGTGCAAACGTGAAACTACTACTTGTGCGTAGTACTTCCTTTGGCTAAGCTGACCGCGGGGCGAAGAGTGGGGTTTAAACTGTCGTGTTGCATTACTTCTCTGTCGTAATGTGCATTTCATTGTGTTCTCGCCTGAGAATACCGGTCGAATGGGATGATTCCTAGTTCCAACGTTCAAATCAGGCGTCTCAGTTGACGTACTCTTCATTTTTGTATCGAAGTTCTTCATGCGATGGTCAAAATTGTCCTAATAGAACGATGTGCAAAGGATCTCCAGACTGCCTCAACATTGTGCGCCAATGAAATCGCGGCATGCGATGACGACTTGGGTTCAGTATGGTGAGAAACCTGCGAAACTTGATATTGCACTCTGCGGGATACAGTCAGATCAGTCGACGTCGGCGCACTCTCTTCCGAGCGGCGCTTGTGATGACTACTATGAAGAAGAGCGACGTAATTCGCCTGGCTGAAGGATGTAAATGGGTCGAATTGAGGTCCCTAATAGAAAAGGACCCGTCAGCTGCCCAGGAGCGCGACCGGTTTGGCATGATCCCACTGCACTGGGCGTGCACCGACCCCAACACTCCGCAAGATGTGCTCATGCTGCTGCTCAAGGCGTACCCGGCAGGTGCACGGCTGATGAACAGCGGAAAGATGCTGCCGTTGCACATTGCAATCAAAGCCCAAGCCAGCATCGAGTGGCTGCAAGCTCTGTTGGCCAACTACCCGGATGCCGCCATCGCCCTCACCCCTGCGAAGGAGGACGTGGTAGCCTTGGCCAAGAAGTATAGATTGCCCTCCATTTCGATCAACCTTCTCGAAGAGATGCGAGATCATGTCCAAAAGACCTCTGGCTACAGATCTGGCTCCCACACCACCGACGAAGATGCTGAAGGTGGTATTTCACTCTCTCCATATCCGTGGCATCGTGGCCTCATGGTATCCATCACTAGATTTCGATGACGGCAACCGTTCCGACAGCATCCTCATCACGACGACCTCTTCGCGTTTCGACGCTCGATCGTACTCGACGGCGTCGTCGCGCCCATACGAATCATTTTCGTCCGAGCAGCATCATTCGTTGCACATGACCCCTACGGAAATCGACGACCCAATTACTGTCCCCAACACGTCCACGAGTTCGCAAGGGATTTACACAGTGCCGCTGCCCCCTCGGTAGTAGTCCCCCCCCCCTTTCACGTGATAACGTCATATGACGTGGCCACTACTAGGTGGACAAATGCCCCGACATGCCACATCTGCGCGTCCAAGTTTGGCACGTTCAAAAAGCGCCACCACTGTCGCAACTGCGGCCAGTCCATTTGCACAGACCACTCGGCCAAACACAAAATGAAGTTGCCCCACGTCGGCCTCACCACCCGCCAACGCGTGTGCGTGCTCTGCCATGACAAGATCACGAACGCGCCCGCCGCCGCCTTGGTGCGTCCCCATGTACGTTGAATATGTGCGCATCTTGGTAAACATGCGACGACCTTTTGCGTAGATGCACTCGACCGACACTGCCACCACCTCGACCACTTCTGCCATCAACCTGTTCCCGTCCCAGCGCGCCTATCCCCCGATGCCAGCATCGTCGCGAAGTCTCATGCGACCAGTAGTGATGACGACGACGACGACCCAGCCTTCCTTGCCTTCGTACGGGTACCAGCCCGTCGCGCCACAGCGGAGCGCCAGCTACGGCAGCAAAACCAACATTAGCCACCTCTTCAACCCACAAAATGCACACAAGGACAGCGTGATCCAAGACATGAACTTGCAGGTGCAGCTGCTGCAACAGCAAGTGACGAAACTGATGGAGGAGAAGCAGCAAGCCGAAGAGGCGCTCCTGGTGACGCGGCGCCAGACTTCGAGTTCCGACGATAACGCGACGCAGTCTGAACAGTTTCGATCAGTGCATTCCGACGTTGTTCGGCCGTCGTGGGAAGAGCCGCACTTCCCCAACATCCCCGACGACCCGCCGCCGCCGCCGCCGCCGGTGGCTGTCCTTCCCCGAGAAACATCCTTGACCGACCACGATCTCTTGGGTGATACGTACGCCCGCAACACGTACGACGACGCAGGGGTACGAGTGTGTGTAATTCTAAACAACATTCCACAAAGAACGTTCGTAGGAATTCTATCGAGATTCGCGGTTCACGCTGGACGACCGAGACACGTTTTTCGACAAGTACGTAGCGCCACTGGCCGCTCGGCCGCTGCAGCAGCAGCAAGTACTGCAGGAGCTAGCTGAAATTGAAGACGACATTGAACGCACGTCCATCGCCGACCATGTCGGCCAACATGAACAACCACAGGAGCAAGTTGCTGCAGAAGTATCCCCAGAAGACGAAACCGATGACGATATCCAAGAGGTAGACACGCTGCTAACATTGGGCGTGGCCATGCTGCAGCAAGGATGTGCGAGCGGCGCCGTCGCCGCGTTTGAGCGGGCCGTGGAGCTCATGCCCCTGGACCCCCTGCTACATTCGTACTTGGGTACTTCGAAGGAGGATACTGCAGTGTATTGAGTTTGGAGGGTATGTGTAGGCAAAGCGTGCTATGAAGACGAAGACATGGATCGCGCGATTGCTGCGATTGAACGATCCCTTGACCTTGAAGCGTCGGCCGCCAACTGGACCCTCCTGGGCAAAATGTTGTTCGAAAAGGGCGACCACGACAAAGCCATCGACGCGTACCAGCGGTCGCTGGAAATGCAAAAACGAGTAGGGGCGTAGCGCATCACACTATATTCTGTCGTTTAAATAAATATTATCCCCAACTACTGTGTTGAACCTTGGGAACGACGCTGAATACTGTAACGGCATTACGAATATTTGTTTTTAAAGGTAATTTGGTTATAGAGGCAATTTTCTTCAATCGACAATTGCATCGTAAACGGATTTGGGATTTGCCGAAAGATCGGTGGTTTGCTGAGCTGCATTACCCAATAAAATTCAAGAATTGATATGATTGGATAAAATAAAAGCCTGCAACAACTTACACCTTCAAAACCTTATAAGTTCAAGAGGGGTTCGCCTGTTTTCAAATCAAGTATGACCTGTAACATATTATAACTGCATACATATAATATTGTTCTATAAATCAACAATTTTGTGCCTTCCAAGGCGTAAAATTCCAATACTAAATACAAGGTTAAATTTCGGCAAATCACCGATCGCCTGTTTGAGAGCCTAGTAAACTTTGGCATTTTATTTGCCCTGATTCAAACTCTCATACTTGATTCGGGCGATGAGATAAAGCTCGAAAAGGTGAGTTCGGCACTGCAACTTTCACGTCGAGATAATTTGAACTTCGCCAGATATGGTCGATTGAATGGAGCTCAAAATCGGCAAATCACTGTTACTTCACGTTATTTTACATGTGTTAATCCTTTGCACTAGAAACAAATTTCGGGTCTGTTTTGGGGATCCATAAAATGTGACGAGGTAAGCGTAAACTATACAAGGACTACAGTACTCCGTGCTTTATTATAGTGTACAGTAAATTTGAGGAAATTTGGCCCATATACACTCTAATAAAGCACAGAGTTGTTCCGTGTTTTATGGTAGTCAGAACCAATACCCGCTTTTGATAGCCAATTGAAATTCGCAATTTGGCCCTGGGGTCGCCGTGATAGGCCAAATTTCCTCAAATGTACATCCCTATGATAATTTAACGAAGCAATTCGATCCACTTAAAATAGTCACACCCACCTCGATCTGATTAGCAGAAATTTCCGCCAATTAAATGGATGTCGTGTGTCGTATACAGCATTTAATTGGTAGGTATCCACCAATTATATTGATGCATTTGTATGAAAAACCTGGTGTTGCTTTGATTGGCTGAATACATTTGTTTTGTGAATCACATTGACCAAATTTATATTCACATTTGTAAAACAACGAAATATTAGCTAGCTTTTGGCATGATTACTACTATTAATATAGCAGGAACGTTACTAAAACTACTACTAGTACTTTGTTGTTGGGGCTGTTGTCGTATAGGTTGGTCGACTGATTAAGTCGACAAGAAACGTGTGGCGGGGCTCGGCCGCGCGGCGAGTGGTGGATCCAAGCGCCAATGGGTGGCCTCCTTGCACGTGGGTCCACAAGCTAGCAACCCGCCACGTCACGATCATGAGTGATCACGTCATTCTATGTGACAACGTCATTACCTGGCCATGGTCGGGAACGTCGCGGCAGCATGCGACACGGTGGCGCGGCCGAGTTTTGGCACTTGCATGAGCATCATTTGGTGGATTTCGCCCACGGTGAGCGCGGCTTTTTTCCGCGACGCCGTTTGAAACTCGCTGTGGAGCTGCCACGTCACGGGTACCACTTGGCTACATTCACAGTCACAACACTAGACGGGCCACCCCAAAAAAAGTACGTACGTAAAATCGCGCAGAGGGGGCGGTGGCGGCGACGCCAAGGGTAGAGTCGCGGCGGGAACAGGGGGGTTCGTACAGACCAAATGGGGGTGGAAGTGGTGAACAATATGACGGTGCACGGCGGCGAGGAACCCCACCGTCTCATCGTGGGACGCCCCGTGGTATACGAGAAAGTTGTGCTGCACCTACGTCGTACACCTTGAGCAGGAATCCCCGAGGTGGCTGGCTGGCTACCTGCACCTACATACCTGGGTGCGCGTGAGGGCAGTTTGCAGCCCTCCACCTCGGATACACGTCGATTGGGATGCCAAGGACCCTGCACCCATACATAGAACACCATGAAACATGAAACAGAGTTGGACGTATCTCATGTTTCGAAAATGGTACTATCCCAGGCAGACAATCGATATACGACCAATCAAAACCACAATACTCAAGTAGCCAATCAAATCCACCACTCTTCGACCAATTCAACATCGAATTAGTGTATGCCTTGAATTAGTATGACACTGGGCGACTTTTACATACAAAAGTCAGTACAAACAATCGATCGATGGATTTGGCAACGAATCAGCACAACCATCAATCATATTTTGGGTAAAGTAAGACAATACCTTCGACTAGGTATATCACGTAGCGCAGCCCACTCTCCTTGAGCCGGGCCTTTTGTTCCGTGTATCTACAGAACACGTTGGATACAGTATCCCTCCAGTGACACATCACATGTAGTTATGGTGGTGGGTTGATTCTAAACTGGAACGAATCGACACAACCAAATATAATGTACACACAAGAAGCATCGGCAGAAGGATATTTAGCCAATCAGATTGCAGGAAACCATATCGACATCGTGTGTGACTGAAATTAGTGTGAATATTGTGGATTCGATACTATGAATTTCCAGACCCCGTCGAATCAAATGATCTCGCCGCCGAATCGAATCACGAATCGACGCTATTGGCTACTCCGATTTTGAGTGGATTTGATTGGCACTGGACAAATATATTCAACCAATCAGAACACTCCAGCGTGATTCAATATTGATTAGAGAAACCACGCGAATTTTGCAAGTTTTTAGCGAATTTATTCACAATACAATCAGGACACTTTTTCACATTCAGTACAAAGAATAATCGATCGATGGAACGATTTGCCAAAGAATTAGCACAAAAGTCAACCAATATGTTTTGGGTAAAAGAAATACAATATCTGTACCGCTTGTCGACAATGCTGCTGGCTAAATCCGAGATATTCTTTCGCTCCACGACCACGTCCAGCACGAATTCCTGTGGTTGTCCTACGTTTAAGATATGCATTTACTGTCAGTACAGTGGACTCATTTATAGGCTAACTCGAGTAAACGCAAGCAAATATATTTTTTGAGTTCTAGATACATATTTCCTCTGTTGGCGTTTGTTTATTGTTGGTTGAATGAACCGCCAAACAATCGTTGGACCTTTGAAATTGCATTGAAAACCAAGTTGAAGAGGTACTTTTGTTGACTGCATCGATCAACCTTTTTAGCCAATCAAATTGCAACCTTTATTCTTTGTAGCCAATCATACTCCTCCATTGCTTGCTTAGGTGGTATCAATCCTCCCCCATAATAAATAGGCACATTTGGCTGAAAATCAGTACGTACCTTGATGCATTCGAGTAGGAGCGCGAGCAATCCATATCATGTCGCCAATATTGAGCGCGCGCACTTCACACGTGACATTCGCCTCGAGCAGTTTGCGTTCAAACACAGATCGATTCGTTCTTGAAATCATCTACATTAACCCCATATATATATATACCATTCAAATCGCCAAATGTATTCACAATACTATATCACCTCGCGATGGTCCAACAGCAGCACGATGTCCCACGCCTCGTCGTCGTTGGGTCGGACTTGCGGAACGGTGGGTATCAATTTAGACAGGTTTGTCGTGGACCAATCGAATGGCGGCGTGGCGGCACTGGGCTGGCGAGTTGGTCCAGATCCATTCGCTGGTTGGGCTTCCTGGCGACATAGAGTGGCACTTTGAATGCCTACAGCGATATGTTAGACCATGAGAATCGGCCACCTCTAAGGAGATCTAAGGAGGGTACCAGCCAAGGATAAATACAAGAGACCACCATCCACCGCCTTGGCTACGACGTGGTGGGCGTTGATAAGGCTCGACATGCGCGTGGACAGTTGAGATGTTGTGCCTACAAACTAGAGCTAGATGAACTTGATTAAGATATATCAAAGGTAGTACGCCCAAGGCCTTCATCTCGGTCACGAGTTCGCTCAAATCCACGGCGCGGGCTTCGGATGTGGCTCCAACATCCCAAAGTGCCATGATCACGTACCAAGGCACTACCAAGAAGGATCATGATCGACAAGACATCAAGCTATCCGACGTACATTTTCCCTTTGCTGGCTTATAGACCTTGGACACATCACCGCTGCTTGGGTGCTCGACTAGACCGTTGGATGGTGTCGCTTTGCGCTTCTTGGATGCCGCCGCCGCCTTCTGTGTCCGTGCGGCATCCTCCTCTGGCGGAAGATGCCTTGCCATTTCTTCGCCGTACGTCGCGGCCGCCTCAAGACGGATCAAAATAGCGTTGATTTTCTGTGCAATGAAGTTGCCCACGCCTCGCAACGCTTTGGCTTGCTCGCCGGTTTCAATGGACGCGGGATGCGTCCGAATCGAATGCAGGGCACGTTGGTATGACGAAACGGTATGGTTCACTTGGCCTGGAGCCACCCGTCGATGGGACTTAGCTCCTTCTTGTTCAAGGAGCTTTTCCATCTCCATCACGAGGAACTCGTTGGATGGATGTGCGCATTTTGGTGGCATCGGTCCGCCGATCCTGGCAGATTCAAAATTCAAGTTGGCATGGATATCCGGATAAAGATGGAGACGATTATACGGATGATGTCTTTACGTAATAAAAAAGAACAGCTACATTGTCGATTTGATACAAACTTGGGGAGGGAGTGCAATCGAATTGCGCCTACCAAACCGATCCACAATCGATCTGATTGGTTGAATTTCATTGAGAAGGTTTTGATTGGCTAATAATTGAGAAGGTTTTGATTGGCTAATAATTGAGAAGGTTTTGATTGGCTAATAATGTTGAGCTCATCTGAGGTAGCCAATCAAATCGATTTAAATTGCAACGAGAAACCACGCCACAACACGAAATTTCACTCGAAAGCACTATATATATATATATTCACGGTTGACTGTGAGTAAAAGTCCAACGAAATATTGAAATTCTTCGTTCAATACAAATACCAAGTCTATTCAATACTTCAAGTACTACGTAGTATTATTTTTTGCTGTTAGTTTACTTATCTTATTGTAGCCTCGTCGTCCAGGATCAGTAACACTATAATTAGGTCGACGAAAGTACGTTTTGCGGTGTACCGACTAATAACTCGTACATGAGCACTCCTAATGTCCAGATGTCCACCTAAACATAACAAGATTTCAGAGGTGGTACAACAAAATGACATTTGGTGGTTATAGTACCCGTTCGTCGTGAGCCAAGTTGTCCACCATTTCAGGAGACAAGTAGTCCAATGTCCCACACAGAGTACGCCGTCGGACGTTGTGGGACGTCACCGACCAGCCGAAATCGGCCAGTTTGAGTTGGCCCTAAGTGCAACTTGGTCAATAAAGGTACTCGGATAATATTGTGATAATGACGCAACATGCAATATTCATGAATTTACTATATATTGCGTACGTACGTACGTTGTAGCCCAAGAGCAAGTTTTCTGGCTTGAGATCTCGGTGAATGACATGGCGTTGATGCATGTAGAGCAGACCTTGGGCGATCTGGTACACATACGTGGCGGCGACGGGCTCGCTGAATCGACCGACGTCCATGAGCTTCTGGTAGAGTTCTCCTTGCGGGGCGTACTCAATGATGAGGTAGATGCGCTTGTCGTCGTAAAAGTACCCAAACAACCGGAGAATGTTGGGGTGGTTCAGGTCCGACTGGATTTCGATCTCCCGACGGAGCTGGTACTCGACGTTGGCCTTGCGCAGCTGGTTCTTCTGCAGCACTTTGAGGGCCACGACGTACTTGGATTCCTTTTCTCGCGCCAAGTACACATTGCCAAACTTGCCTCGGCCCAGTGGTCGGCCAATCTCAAAATCCGTGAGCTTCCACACGCGATCTGTCGACTCATCCACCACTTTTGGGAGTAGTATTCGCTTGGATCCAGGTGATGTCAATCTTGCCCGCAATCCTGCTGCATCCATGGGACTGGTGCATCCACGTGACCAGCAACCAACATGTCCAGCCGACTGGAGCCGCTCATGTAAGAGGTGGACGTATTCATGTCCACACTGCTTGGAGATGCTGGCAGCATCGAACCTGCCATCCTGTTGGATGGGGTGCTTATTGAAGCAGGTGTCCTTCGTGGCGCCATGGAAGTATGTGTCGACGACTCAGCCATCGTTGACCAGAATGTGCGAGTCCTTTGGTATCCGGATACAGCCTATTCCTATTGGTTCATTACCAGTACCATCTATCATTATCCGGTACTACGGATATATCACAACCCCACGGCACTCCAACAAACTTATCAATCGTGTGAGCAACTAACATTACTTTAACAACTACTTCAGCAATAATGCAAAGTGTGCCAAGTGAGATGCGTCTTGTGCCTTTATTTGCGTGTGAGATGAGTTTGCATACACAAATATAAGCGGATGATACTATCAACACCCCAATCCCCATAGTAGTAGTACATGTATTGTATAAAAGTCGCTATAATCTCCCAAAATTAGCGTGGTTTGTCGAATCAGTACTTACTGAATCCCGCTCGCTCGAGACGTTCTGATTGGTTGATTCTCCACCTTGTCGTAGAGCCAATCAAATCGACTCAAAATATTGGAGAACCAATCAATATCCCACACACAATTCCATGTATACTCTATATCGAGTTACGTTTGCAACGCAGGCACACGCAGGGGGTTATCAAGCGACACGTTCTGCAATCGAACGGTGCCTAAGATGGCTTCGGGCAGCTCTTCCTCGGACTGGGACTCGAGCAGGAAGGCCAGGTCAACCACGAGCACTTTGGTCACGCCCTTGACCATACCCACGACCGTATTGGCGACGCTGTTGGATGAAATGTCGATGTCCACTTCAAAGTAGTTGGGGCCACGGTGGTACGGACAGCTCAGCTTATTCCCAAGCAACGTCGGCACTGACCCCACCGCCTGCTTGACAATAAACGTGCCTTCCACCACCGTGGGAATCAACTTGAACCGAGAGTTCCGGAATGCATCGTCGCCGTCCAAAAAGTCGGCGAGCAGGTCCGAGAATGGCGAGTTTTCGTCCAACAATGTGGGCGAGTCCGGTTGAAAGTAAAACACCTAAAAACATATTCAATATAGTGTGATTGTCAAATCGATCAAAACAAGTCGTCGTCGATATATGTATATATATATAATATATATATAATGTATATATAATATATATATATATATATAATGTATATATAATATATATATATATAATGTATATATAATATATATACAATGTATATATATATAATATATATAATGTATAGATATATATACAATATATATAATGTATAGATATAATATCGATATAATATAGATATATAAATATACTGTTGACCGAGAATGTTACACCAACGACGGTTGTAAAAACAAGTGACAAATCAAACAATACATTTCACATATGATGGATTTTTTTCCAACAACGTGAAACGAAGTCTAGACTAGTAGTTGGGGATGGGAAGCATTGGCATGTCAAGCACTAAACGAAGTCTAGACGAGTAGTAGTATATACAACACATTCAACTATCCAAACATAATCATATATATATATATATATATATATATAGAGTTTAATATAAAAATACAAAATAGACGAAACCATCAATCAGCACATACAACAATCAATACAAGTGCACAAATGAAGACACACCATTGCACCAAGAAGGATGATCGATAAAAAATATGGATCGATCGATACGTAGCATATATATATATATATATTGTTGATTCGATTCGAAATTGGAGTGCTCAATCGAAGGAGCAGAATCACCAAATCAAAGGCAGAGAATCGATATATCGACCAATCAAAACACAAAACATGAATCAAATTATCCCCTCTTCGAAGAATTCAACATCGAATTAGTGTGTGATTGAAATTAGTGTGATACTGGACGATCTTTACATGCAAAATGAGTCAGGACAAAGAGAGTGAGTTATCCACTTGGATTTGGCAAAAAAAATCAAAAGTGAACCAAATATATTGGGTAAACGAACAATAATACCATGCTCAGGTTGTTGGGGCTAGGGATGATCATGTTGATGATAAATGTAAACCCAGGAGCAGTTTGGACATGCGACCCAGGCCGATTCGCGAGGTTATAGCGCTCCTTTTCGTTGTCAAATGCAAACAAGTCGACCCCCACGAGGCGAAATCGAGCCTTTTTCGACGGTGTTTTCTTCTTGTCTACCAAATAGTTGGGTCCGCGGACAGCAAACCGCGACGCATCTGGTTCCGACCACATCTACCGCAACAACGCCACGTCATTCGATGGCCTCGGTATAACCATATATATATATATATATTGTTGCTGTATCGTCCACACACTTTAAACCACATGGAAAAAGACATGTGGTTGATTTGTACGAATATTGTCGATTTGATACAAATTTGGGGTGCAATCGAACAATCGATCTGATTGGTTGTTGAATTTCATTGAGAAATGGGTTTTCATTGGCTAATAATGTTGAGCATATTTGAGGTAGCCAATCAAATCGATTTAAATTCCAACGAGAAACCACAACACAATGAAATTTCACTCGAAAGCACAATATTCAAAGTCGATTATTCGAAATCGGAGTGTGTCAATATCAATCGAGTAGGAGCAGCAGCACCACCACCAAATCAAATGAAATCGCCCAATCGATATATCGACCAATCAAAACCCAAAACATGAATCAAGTGGCCAATCATCAAATGATCCACTCTAGGACCAAGTCAACATCGAATTAGTGTGTGTGACTGAAATTAGTGTGATACTGGACGATCTTTACGATTTGGCAAGTCCATATTTGGGGTAAAACAATACCTTTTCAGGCAGAGACGTCTTGAGCTTTTGCACAACATGCGGCGCGGCACCGCCAATGCCGCCGCCATCGACGCGGCTATTCTCGGAGGAAGTGTCGGCCACCGTGACGCTGGGCGTGATAAAGTCGCCGCCGCTCAGCTCATCCCGCATGCCGACAACCGACCGCAGCATCGGCAGCACCGCGTCCACGTCCATACCGAGCTGGTGGTAAATGCTCGAGTTGCCCTTGGGGTCGTACCGGAGGACATAAGTCACGAGCGATCGGACGCCGCCGTGAATTGACGACTTTTGAGGCGCGATGACGTAGCCCCCGCCTACACACATCCCCCCCTTGTCACAAGTCTAGTATTACTACTACTAGATACTACTACTACTAGATACGCTATCCCAGCTCTGTCGTAGAGTGTGTGAAATCTGCACTATCATAAATATCATAAAACCATAAATTCTCAAGTACAGGTATACATACATACATGTATGTATACCATTGAAATCTTGACATTCCAATTGTATACTTGAGAATCAATGCATTGTCTAAATTGAATGACATGATGCAAAAAAAGGTATCTGATCTCTCATACAGTAGCAGCTAGCCACTCAAACACGGCGTCCGAAATCGTCCTTGACACGACTAGTACTACTAACTAGACTCTCTCGAGGGGGAAATATCATAGTAGTCGTACTAACACATACCGAGGATGCTGGCGCGCACAAAGTTGTGGCGAACACGGCACTCGGGATGCGTCGTGGACTGGTACATGACAAAGTACGATCCGTCCTCTTCGCGGCGCCAGTATCGCATGAGCACGAGGTCGCGGGGCTTTTGCCACATGGGCCAGATGTACACGGGGCGCAGCTGGACGTATATGATGTCCGAGTGGTCGTCCATCGCTTGAACGACCTTGACCGATGTCACTGACGAGTCCCATCTAAAATATATATGTATATATAAATATATGTTTATATATATTGTCGATTGGATAGTACAAATTTGGGGACGGGGTGCAATCGAATCAACCGATCCACAATCGATCTGATTGGTTGTTGAATTTCATTGAGAAATGGGTTTTGATTGGCTAATAATGTTGAGCTCATCTGAGGTAGCCAATCAAATCGATTTAAATTCCAACGAGAAACCACAACACAATGAAATTTCACATATCGAAAGCACAATATATCGACATCTCCAAACAAATGGTCATTGATATATAACGTTACCATCCAACCTATAAGTACATCATCACACGAACTGCCCATCTTTCACATTGTTTTTCCCGTCAAATATACATAACTATATATAACTATATATATATATATATATATCGTAAACACGATACCCATACGTTTCGTTCAAAACGATTCAGACAAAACTAACACAATAAAAAAAATTGGACAACTTTGAAACATCCGATACTACAATCTAAAGGCTGTATATTTCTAAAAATCGTTTCAGAAAAAAATAATAGTACTGTTTTGGACACAACTCTTGAAAAAATATGTTTGTTTGGCCCACGTTTAAACTATATATATTAATATATATTCGACAATTTGGAAAATATATGTGTGTATATTTCAACTTGCACGAACCGTTGGTAGCGACTGGTGTTCATGATCAAGCGAAACACGTCCGAAGGCGGGCCATGGACGACCTGGGACACGCGCAAGCTGGGGATTTCAATCGCCGACTTGGGCATCAGCGTCAAAGCGCACACCTAATGGACATGCATGAGAGGGACACGAGGTAGGAATGTTGATGGGGGAAGAGATCTACCACGACGGCGGCGAAGGCCGTGCCAAAGCACACGAGCATGTTGGCCACCATCGAATGCATGACGCTGAACGCCAAGACGGCGCTGATCGTGGATGCGAAGAGAAGGTTGTTGGTCAGGCTCGCGTGGTGCGCGTACATGGACGCGGCGACTTGGTGGCCTAGCGGGCATTCTTGCATGATGCGCAGTCCTTCCTCGACGCGCACGAGCCACCAGCCTAGGACAACATGTGAATGAAGGAAGGAAGGGCATATCGAGTGTACGTCACTACTACTACTACCTTGCTCGGTCTTGACGTTGTCCGTGTCCAGGTTGAACAAGGACACGTTGTCCGTGTCGAGGATGGTGGCGCTGTAGCCTTTGCCGACGTCGGCGCCCTTGAGGATCTCTTCCTTGACGCCGGCCACCTCCTTGATGGCCGAGATCGTCTGCTCCAACGCCTTCTTCCACGCTTCCGCCATCTTCTCGTCCTTCGCGCCAAGGTCTATGAACCGATCCTTCTTGTACGATTTCTCGCCCGCCCCCACGGAGAACGTGATGCGGAACATCCACACTTGGTCGTGATGCTTGTGTTTCTCCTCCGAGTTGAACACCTTTCCCACCACGCACTCGTTCGTCAACACGTACGTGCCGCGCGGCGTCGGGTCTCCGCGCTTCTTGTAGTAGCGGAGGTTACTGCCTTCCAGGATGAAGTATCGCTCCGCTGCGTAGGTACACACGGTTAGTCAGGCGAACGAGAAGGAGGTACGCGCCTCCATGCAGCCTACACAGGCGTAATACACGTACTCCAGATGATGTTCATGTGGTCCCGCCGCTTGGTCAGCCATCCTTCCATGTTGCTTGTCGATGGCGCTGCTAGTACGAAGCAATTCAAACACTTTCACGCCTCACACACAAGTTACACATACTACACGTGGCGTGTGTAATTATATTCCAAACAACTGGAACTTTGTATGTAAAATAACGCAATTAAATATAAAACACACAATTCCCAGCACACTTTCTTGCCTAGACGCTCGGTTCATGGCAGAATGGAGGCGCGCCCGCTATGGGCTCGCGTGGCCGCCGCCATACTAGTAGTATGCATGCAGCCTCTCATGTACATCATGCCCGCACCGTGCTACTCTACTCCATGAAGTTCCATCTTCACTGATTGCCATATCACGTGCTACTACGACATCGACATTGTCCATTATACACTCGCACGTTTGAAGATATGCCACATCGAACACATCGCAACATCAAGTCACGATAGCGCATCGCGTTTATGTCATGGCATCGTGTCCGAGGCCAAGGTTGCTCGTCCACACTCGATTCCTCGCGCCGTTAGTCTTTAGCGCAACTGGGTCATCGATATCTTGGACATTCACTGCCGCAGACACATCGCCTACATGGAATGTCCATGTGCCCGGCACAATTTCTTTGGTTCCATCATCGCCCACGAGGGTGAAGGCCACGTCAAAGTCCAAGTCGAGCGTCCAAACGTGTGTATCACCCGGTCGGAGGTCGTTCACGCGCTCAAACCCTGCAAGGGTTTGCAACGGTCTGCCCTTCGTGCCTGCTCCCGGCGGCACGGCGAAGCAGAGCAGGACGACGTCTCCCACCAACTCGCCGACGTTCTCTACCGTCGCGCTCAGCCGCACGCCACGTCCTCGGACGTGTTCTCCATATTCGATTTCTTGGGCAAGAATCGAATAACGGAATATAGTGTACGACAACCCGTGGCCAAATCCGTACACCGGGGCACCGGTGTAAAACCGAAACGTTCGACCCAACGAATGTGCATGCGGCCGCATGTGCATGTCGGCGATAGACACTTCGGACGTGAACGATGCGCGGTAGAACGTGTGTGCGAGTCTCCCCGATGGGTTCACGTCTCCAAACAGCACCTACGGCATGTGTCCACCTCAGGCTCCCTCCCTCCACGTATCTCTCCGCCTTCTACCTGTGCTATGGCCGTGCCGCCGCTCTGCCCAAGGTACCCCGCATACACGATCGCGCCAACCTTCGCATCTGCTTCAAACTCCTCAAGGTCCACAGGTCCGCCTGCCAGAATCACGAGGACGACGGGGCGTGCCGCCGCCGCCGCCACGCGTGCAATCAACTCGCGCTGCCGCCCCGGCCATTCCAATGTCGCGCGGTCCACTCCTTCGAATTCGACGCTTTGGTCCAATCCGACAAACAGCACGACCTGAGCCGCGTTGGCAGCAATCGCGATCGCTTCCTCCGCCATATTTTGCCCTCTGACCGTGCAGGCGGCATGCACATCCACGAACGACGACGGCACGTGGGATGTGACGCCGGCCACGGGCGACACCACAAATGGGGGAACTCCGGCGTAGCTGCCCAGTTGCGCGGTGGTGGCATGGACATGGGGTCCAAGTACTGCCAGCCTGGTGGTGGCTTCAAACGCATCTGGATCTAACGGCAGCGTCTTGGCGGCATTCTTGAGCAGCACGATGCTCTGGACGGCGGCGGCGAGCGCCAGTTGCCGATGAGCGCGGGTGTCGATGTCTGCCGGCGAGCTGTCTAGAAAGGGCGCCGTGGCGGCAGGTTCAAATAGCCCGAGCCGCATTTGCGTTCGAAAGAGCATCTTCAACGCTCGCGTCCACGCCGATTTGGACACCTACATGGAGTGCACTTGTAATTATCCTTCACGACAAAGCGTTTCGTAACAGGAATGATGGTAATGCGATGCACATACAATTCTCAAGTCAAAGGTGCAGAGTGTTGGTAAATAGCCGTTTCAGAATATACGAGTGACGGTCATACCGTGGGCAAGGCAGCAGGGAGGTTCAATTGAACAAAGTCGCCGCAGTTGATGTCCATCCCTGCTTCAAGCGTGGCCGCGCAAGTTTCCGCAGCGGTATGCGTGTATCGATGGTGCCACAGGACGTCATAGACGGCACCACAGTCGGAGACAATGTACCCGTCAAACTTCCAAGTGTGTCGAACGACGTGGGTGAGGAAGTGGGAGTCGGCGCAGGATGGCACGCCGTTGACAGCGTTGTAGCTGCACATGATGCACGACACATGGCCTTGGGTCACGCACGCTTCAAAGGCGACCAAGTACGTATCCGCGAGATCTTGTGCGGTCACGTTGGCATCCAACGAGTGACGTGGCACTTCCTGCGAGTACGCGGAGAAATGTTTGCAACATGCAGACACATGTATAAACGGCGATGACGATGGGCCTTGCTGCATGCCGCGGACAAATGCGACGGCGAAGGCAGACGTCAGATGCGGGTCTTCGCCGGGGGTTTCCTGGCCGCGTCCCCATCGAGGGTCGCGAAAGAGGTTGATGTTGGGCGCCCAATACGTCAACCCGCCATGGCCGACACTGTGGAATGCTCTAGTCGATTGTGTAAGATGGAAATGATGGACGAACAGGGACAGACCTGGCTTCGGTGGCGATCGCGGCGCCAACGTCGGCAAAAAGTTGGCGATTGAACGATGAAGCCAAGTTGAGGATTTGGGGGAAACTCGTGGCAATGGGAGTTGGAGCAATGAAGCGCACGGACGCAGAGACTCCTACGCCATGAAGGCCTTCGTTCCACCATCCATACGCCGGCAAATCTGCGTGACATGATCGGATCAGAATATGGAAGTAGAAGGTGAACACGTACCAAGGCCATCAGGGGTGGACACGGCGGTGGCGTTGTCACCCAAGAGGCCCGGGACGGCGGAATCTGGAATGCGTGCCACGAGATCATCCACACGCGCATCAATCGAAAGCGACGGGTTGCAAAATGGAAACGACTTCTGCGGCGCTCGATCGCAAATTCGTGGCATTTGCGCATCCTACCACATTTGCGCATGAGTGCATAGGCGGAATCACACGTGGTCATGACAGAGGTCGCTTTACCGTGGCAACGGATGCGTCTTGAAGCATGGCCAGTGCCAGCAGCATCGTGGCTGCCATCATGGTTGACGTCCGAAGATCGCAAAAACTCCTATGCCCTCTACAAATACATACATGCGTTTCCAAAGGTAGTCGCAGACATTTGAACCGTGTGATCGGTCAACTTCCGAACCGGTTCGGGGCAAGGTTCAATTTTTAAAATAGATTCGACGAGGTCATACAAATCTCAACTGTTTAAAATAAATCCCAATGTGATCCATAAAAATAGCCAGAAAACGACCACCTCCATCAAGGTTGTCAACACATTGATTGTTGCCATCATGGAGCTGGACCCCATCGCCGTGTTGTTGCATGATAAGCCGCTACATTTGAAGTTGATGGACATTGACACGTCCCCCACCATGCCATCATGTGCTGCTGCTGGGACCAACACGTACCACGAGAGCTACCTCGGCTACGTGCTGCCGTACCTTGCCACGACCGACCTTTACTGCGTCACGGCGCTGAACAAAGAGATCGAAGCCTTCTGCGAACAAGAATGGAAAATCCGTGTGGCCGAGAGATTCGGCGCGCTTCGATACCCCGCCATGTCATATCGTCGCGTGTATGCGATGCGGTGTCACTTCCAACGTCGGGTGTCGTCCAATGTGTCGGCCCGTGTGTACCTCATGAACACGAACGGGGACACGTCCTTCTTCCGCATCGATTCCAGCAAACCCATCATGTGCTCCCGCGAACGTGCTGCAGTGTACAACCGCTGCGAACGTAATTGCCCCCTCTGGCTTCGCTTCCCTCATCACGATCATCATGATGGTATGGTAGGCATGTTTGACCTGTCGCTCCGCATCAATCGGTCTATCCAAGAGATCTCGGCGCTGATCGGCATGGTATCTCTCGAAGAAGCGCGGGACCTTCTCAACGAACACATTAATCTCATGACGTCCGTGGCGGCATTGCGCGGCTCGCTCGTGTTTGAAAGCGAACTGTTCCAGGTCATCCATCCCCGTCCGTGGCCCACACTCATGGGATGACTATGTACCTAGGTCTTCCCCGCGCCAGTCCTCCTCGACACCAACGTGCTCCTTCGCGCGACCCACGCGTTGGAACTGCCCTTCCGCGGCGTGCCCCTCATGATGCAAACATGGGTCTCCATTGACAACGTCGTGTTCCGCCCGCTGTCGATTCCGTTGCTGCTGCATCCGTCGCCGCCACCGCCTCCCGTGGTGAACGAGCCACATGATCACACAGCCCCCGTGGCCGCTCCGTGTTATACGGCTGCGCGCTTCCACGAGCTGGCAGGCATGACCATCGACATTGACGACAACAGCGTCCGGTACGACCTCCAGCCCGACGCGGTCACACTCAACACCCTCGTGTCCAATGCGTTTCTGCTTTACCTCTTCAACCCGACGTCGTTTCGACCGTTGGATTGGTCGTACGAAGCCGGACTTGCCATCGGTACGGTGTCACATATATATGTATATACATACATCCTGCCAAGAGATATACATACATACACCCATGTCACATGCTGCGGTGGTTTACTTTTTATTGTGTAGGGTCGCACACACACTTGTTGCCGAGCGAACGCGAAGGCGTGTTCCTAAACTCTACCACCAGTGCGCTTCGCGTGTTCCTATCGTATGGCAAACAGCAACTCACGCCAGTGGCATCTGCCCCAGCGGCTCTGGACGACCAACCCCCCGACACATTGCCGTCACATCGTCGGCCATTGGACATCGCGTGCGCCGCCGGCGACAGCACGTTCACGTTCAGTGTCATAGCCACCAACCGCCTCACGCAAGCCAAGAAGCTCGTGGTATCGCAAGCCATGCGCATCACACTGCCCGCCCCCGCGTATCGGTACTACTGTACACTCGACTGCAACTCGATTGATTTCATAGGTGCTCACGAGTGTATGTATATATATATATATATAGCTACGGCAAACTCGAACGCCACGCGCAGCTATCCAACGACGCGGTGCTGTGCTACAGCTTTGACCTGGACAACCACCTCCAATACGTCGAGTTTGCCATTGGCTTTGAACCGCTCTTGCACGCATTGGACGTGGTGCCGTTTCTCGCCACTTGACAGCTTTTAAGTGTTAAAAGCCAATGACAAGATATATTATATACACACATATTGTGTGGACAATTGTGTTATATATGCTGGCTAATCGTGCTTTGGTTTTCCCACGGAACGATGGCAACCACACCACCACACAACACCCCCTATCCCCCCCACCACCAACGCCATCGCAGCCACCCATCCATAGAACCGCGTCACAACTTGCCATTTCTTGTCGAGGCGGGAAAGAAACTTCTTCAGCGTCCGCGTGACCACGCGCACTGGTTTCGACGGCGGAATGTACGGAGTGTACGTCCCAGGAACGGATGGCTCGCACGTGTCGTACGTCAGCAGTTCGGTGGCGCCGCGGCGGCCGCTGTACCGCACACAAATACGCGTGCCATCGTCGCGGACGTCCAACAGTCCAAATTGCCCTGCGACACGTCAAAGTCAGATAACGTCAAAGTCAGAATCAGATGTGTACCTGAGCCAGGAAAGGCCCCGTGACTGTACGGCCCGCCCTTAATCGACCCCGGTCGCCCCAACGCGGCGGCGTGGAACGTCGTGATGTTGCCCAGGCTGTGGCTGCCGTCGTCCACGGCCAGCATGTGCGCGTCACCGCTGACAATGACCAATGGGATGGAGGTCAAGTCTAGGGTCGCGAAGAACGCCACGAGGTCGTTTTGTTCGTGGGTAAAGTGCCCCCACTTGCGCTCGTCGTCGATCCACGGCATCGTGTTGACCCACACCACGAGGCCAACGTCCTCAGATGTCGTCGCGGCTTGCTACAAAAAATTGGCATTTCCCCAACGAACGGTCGTTACAAACGGCAAAGTGCTTTCGTGCTTGGCACCTCCATATCTCTCAATATCATGCGTGGGTGGTCGAGACAGGGAATTGTGATATACATATCATTCGAGGAAGCGATATAGACAGAGGATTGTGTGATATATCAAAGTCTATATATATATCATTCGAGGAAAAACGATATATATCATTTTTGTGTGTGGTGGTGGTGGTACCAGTTGGTCTTTGAACCATTGCTTTTGATCGAGGCCAAGGATTGTCTTGGACGGGATGTCGGGGGCGTCGTTGGGAGTGCGTTGCGACCGCAAGTCGGTCACGAGAAATCGCACGCGGCCAATCGTAAACGCTTGTTGGATCGTGTCCAATGGATCGTCTCTACACGAGTATCGTCGTCATGTGACAGCGTCATGTGACAACGTCATGTGATATTGTTAAGTTTACTTGGACGGACAGTGAGAATGAATCGACACAACCAACTGTACAGAAAAAAAATCATCGGCAGAAGGATTGCGCCAATCAGATTGCAGGGAACCACCATATACATCGAATTAGTGTGAGACTTCAATTAGTGTGATACCAATCCCCACAGGGCAATTTTGTTAATACAACGAATCAATCGATCGATTATGGATTTGGCAAAGAATCACGACACAAGTCAACCAAATGTTGGGTACAAAAAACGCAATAACGTCATGTGACAACGTCACGAGTTTCGTACGGTCGAACCAGGGGGTAGTGGGGCACGTATTCACGGTACGCTTGCAACGACGCCGGACGACCAAGGGCGGTGCCGTCTGAATTGTCCGGACCAAAGTCATGGTCGTCCCACATGTACGCCATGGGCAATTCCATGGCCAGCATGGCCTACATCTCGGTCATGCAGTCGAACGTGACAAGAAGGATGTCACTTGGATACTGTCATATGACGTAGTGTCCAACAAAACGGGACAACGGCAAACCCGACATGGATAACGTCATCGATGCGACAACAGGATAACGTCATTTATTACCGTGCCAGCGGGGGAGGCAAACATGGACTCGTACGCGCCACGGAATGCTGCCACGTCATTCACGTCCAAGTTGGCATAGTGCAGATCGCCCATGTGGATGAAAAAGAGCGGGTCGTGCGATGCAATTTCATCAAATACCTAAATCAAGGCATAAATACATGAGCGGTAGTGACACGTGAGCATGACTTGACCTCGGGGTCCGAGTCCTCGTCGGCGCACGACGAAAACGCAAACGTGTAGGAAAGGGGCACGCCGGGCGGCGATGGAAGGCGCACGGACCGATTGGATCGTTTGAGTACGCTGGACAGCAATGATAGGTTTTAGGTTGTGTACTAGTAGGAGACCTAATGTGCAGGAAGCAATGTACATGGAGTTGTCGTAGCGAAACTCATACGCAATCGATGCACCAGAAGCAAGTCCCTGGAACCATTCCACATTCAAATGTCAGTCGGGAGGGATTATGAGATAGCAGTAGTCGTTATGATATCGACTACCGTGGCCTGAAAATCGTGCAAATCCGTTGTAGTGGACATCGATTGCATCGTGCTCAGAAATCGTAATGGTGGCGCAGATTCAAGATCCTAGGGAAGCATACATAATGATCACGTTCGAACATGGTAAGGAGCAAGGAAGCCTACCTGGTCGACCCACAGAGATAGTTTGGTGGCATCGCAAGCTGGATCCACAAATGTTACAGACACGCGAAGGCGGGTGGAAGTGCTGGTGAGCGCACCAACCCACACCCAGTTCACGGGGGATAATCCCGACAATGTCTCGACGTCCATACACGCGTTCGTTGTGCATAAGGTAAGCATGCACAGAAGAAAGGTCCACAAGGACGGCGGCATCCTTGTCTTTTCCACAAAAGGGCAAATGAGGGAGTGAAAATGCACCTTCTTAATGTCCAATGAAATCGCGTGAGTGTCGTATTTTGACTTTCGTCGCGTGATTTGATTCGCTGTTCCTAATCTCATGGTCCAATCATACTGCTGTATTTACACCCTCCAGCGATGATCTACAGCAAATTGAAGTCGCTGCTGCTGCCATTGCACGTTTTGCCACGAAGAGCACACATGGACACGAGCTTGGTCCCAGCGTCACCAATGATCAATTCCGCAAACGTTTCCTCGGCCGGCGGCAACAACACTGACGACACCTTGCTCTGCCGGTACAAGTTTGGCAAATGCTTGAACCCACGGACGTTCAAGATCAACGGTACATTACACTCGTTGTGTACGATGCACAGACAAAGGCAGAACGCACATCAGCTCAAAAGCGACCGCAAACGGCGCCAACGCAAGTCCCTGCAACGCGATCGGTCTAGCCCGGTGTTCACGTCCACCACCCCAACGGCCGTCCCGTCGATCACGGATTCGAACGTGTCCCCCGCACCTTCCATTCCATTCCTTGAAGATGACTTCATGCGAGCCAGCGCCATTGGTGAAGCCATCTACTGCATCAACTTGAACCTAATCAAGCTGACCCATCTGCTCATGCACCACGATGAGGTCGCACGAGTCGAGAGCTGCTCCGTGCTCTTGTCGTTGAACCCAGAAAACCTTGGCACCCCGATACCTTCGACTATCAAGAGCAAAGGCACAGCCGACTACGTTGTCAATTCGTCAATACCAGCCGAGCACAACGAAGTGGCAGAGGCCATGCTGCAGAGTCCCCAGCATACCTTGCCCGCCATGGTTGCCCCCTACAGCCCCCGCCCTTCAAGCGAACACCCATCACCCCTTCCAGCATTGTCATCCATCGTGAAGGCTCATTCTTCCTGCCCCATGAACTTCCATCGCTTTGTCGTGTAGGACTTGGCCATCGCGCTTACTTGTTCCATGGTTGTCCATCTCCAACGTTCAAATTTTTCGTAGACGAGTCTAATAAATGCTGTGCACATTCACAGTGTGGGTATGCATCCTATAATTGACGGCGTAAACAACGCAAACGTCACTTTGCACTCAAGTAATGAGTACATACAGTTATACATCACGGTCTACTCATTTCAGACAAGTCCTTATGACATACCACGTACTAGTATATAGCATATGTATAACATTACTTTACGACTCGTTGAATCAAGATGGCCCTGCGGGGGTCGTATCTAGGGTTGGAGGGGTCGACACCGCACGGATGGCGGACGTGCGTCGAACTTGCAAGTTTTCGGCTCGAAATGCCTCGGGCACTTCCACATTGAACTCGAACGAGCCACTACGAGTGGGATTTCGGGGTCCTTTCGACGTTGGCGGGTCAGATAATTGTTTGTTCGCTTCGGCAGGCGACGCAATCGACGACGCCTCGAGGTACATGCTCAAGGTGGAGCTATGTTTCTTCGTCGCTAAGATGGGCGGCTGCTTGTACTGAGGCCCTTCATGTTCCAGTCCTGTGGAGCCAGGGCACCATGCACAGGATAGCGAGCGGTTGTCCGCGCCGACACTACCGGTAGACGATGATTTGTTCCCCATGTGGCTGTGTGATTGTTGCTCGAGGATTCGATAAATTCGGCGCCCCGGGGCGCAGTTCCAACTATCTTGAGATTTGTATGTGATCGACCAAATTAATAAAAACACGACCAGCATACATCGTCTAAGTTGAAGTTTAATGTTGGCCAAAATGATGTCTTTGGACAATCGGTTACACAGGCGTTACGTCCATCTCCCAAGTGACATGAGTGTCGCGGCCACGGCGGAGCGTGTGCGTGTGTACTGCCGCATACGACCGTACATAGCCCAAGCCTGTCCCGAGGCCGACGACGAAAGCTCGACGTTCGTGACGGGAACGTCGGCTTCGTCCCGACGGCATGTCTGTGTCACGCCCACGTCCGTGTCGACGCTCACGTTCCAGGACAACGACACGAAAGAGTTTGGGTTCGATCGGTGTTTTGCAGACGATTGTAGCCAAGAGGCAGTGTACGAAGCCGCAGCCAAGGACTTGGTGCTTGTACGTTGTACTTTCATCAACCTAGAGCCCCCCATGTATCCCCTTAAGCACCATGTTGATTCTAGAGTGTATTGGATGGGTACAACGCCACTATCATGGCGTACGGCCAAACGGGATCTGGTGCGTTCCTAGGCTGCTTCTGTCGTTGTGTTGACGTATATCTATAGGGAAAACCCACACGATGGTGGGCACATCGCTGGACGGAGGTCACGCCGACGCTGGGATCATTCCACGGTGTCTGCGCGACTTGTTTGAGCAGCGCAGACAGTCGCCGGTGGCCACAACAACAAAGGGCATGCGACAAAAAGGGCTTGGGGCGCAACTGCGGGCGAGTTACGTGCAAGTGTACTGCGAACGCGTGTTCGATTTGTTGCTCGACCCAACAAGCTCGTGTACAAACAGCCAGAACGCGCTGCAGATCAGAGAAACGGACGACCGGGGGGTGTACATTGACGGCGTGACGTTGCGACCCGTGTCCAGTGTCCAGGTTCGGTTTCTGTACGAACTACACACAAGGGCATTTCATCATCCCTTGTGTTTACGTTTGGCATGAGATGACTTCTTCCCCGTAGGAATGTGTGGCGCTGATGGAGCAAGGCAACGCGAATCGCACGGTGGCCACAACCGCCATGAATGCGCACTCGAGCCGCAGCCACGCCATCTTGACCATCCACGTCACGACGTCCGTGACGACTGATGGAGGAGCCGAGGATGGCTGTGACGTGTACCGCAGCCAACTCAACTTGGTCGACTTGGCAGGGTACATATGTACATACAAATGCATCCAACGATCCTTCGAGGTGTACATGTAGTACATAACAGGTTCAATATGCAGGTCCGAGCGCGTGAAGAAGTCGCTTGTCCGCGGTGTCCACGTGAACGAGTTGAAAGCCATCAACTTGAGTTTATCGGGTACAGATAACGTTATTGTGCTTTCGAGTGAATTTTCGTGGTTTCTTGTTGGAATTTAAATCGATTTGATTGGCTACTTCAGATGAGTTCCAAATTATTAGCCAATCAAAACCTTCTCAATGAAATTCAACCAATCAGATCGATTGTGGATCAGTTTGGTCGATTCGATCCCCAAATTTGTATCAAATCGACAAAATATCGTAATTCTTTATAAATGCCCATATCGTCATTCTTACTAAAATGGAAGACCATAGCTCTTGGCAATTGCATCTCAGCGTTGAGCAAACAGCAAAGCCACGTGCCGTATCGAGACAGCAAATTGTACAACTATGTGTTGCTTTCAATATATATTTATATACAGTTCATTGGCGTGGGTTTGTGGTAGAACGAGATTGCTGCAGTACAGCTTGGGCGGCAATGCCAAGACTGCGCTGGTGCTGACTGTCAACCCGGACGCATCGGAAGCGTCGGAATGTCACGCCACGTTGCAGTTTGGTCAGCGCGCCATGAAAGTGCAAGTGATGGCAACTGTGAACGTCGTGCCAGACTACAAGCGCCTCGTGGATGAGCTCCAAGTACGCCAGAACACCCTTGATGCTGTTGACCCCCCAGAAATTAGAAAACACGTTAGAGGATGAGTTATGAGTGGAGTATGTGTTGGTGGTGGTGGTGTAGGCCAAGCTAGACGCCCAAGGCGACAGACTCAACGAAATGGACATGGAACTTCAAACGTCCAAACAATGCCAAGCCGTCTTGCAGGTCCGCCGTCCATAGCTCTGTGTGTGTGTCTATGTCAGGATCGAATCGATCTTCTTTTGTGATAGAATCAACTGGAAGAAGCGCGACTGGAGACGTCACAGGTCAAGTTTGAACTGCAAGCCATGGCGAAATGCAAACACCCTCTCCCGGCAACTCCACCGAGCGACCAGCCCCACGGATGTGGTGCCGACGACGACGATCAACAAGGACAACCAGCTACTACTACGATACAAGAGGATACCACCCACGCCACCGCCATGTTCGAAGCTAAAGTCCAGGAGCTCGTTCAAGAACATCACCGCGAGTTAGCCCAGCTCAAGACACGGTAACGTGTTGCATCATTCGCAAACATCTATGACCTACCTACACTGTACCTGGTGTTGTACTACTATTCATAGTTAGTATATATTTGTTCAGCTACTACTACCTAGTTAGTATGCATGGAAATCGTTCAACTGGTTTGACAGTATTTTTGTCGTCCAAGGTACGACCAGCAACTGGTCACGCACAAGCATGTGGCGAATCGAGCAAATCAGGAATGGCACAACGTCGAGCACGAGCTGTCGGCGGAGCGAACGGCGCACCTGGCCACGATCGCCGAAGTCCGAGACGCCAAGGAGAAGCTGTGGGCCACCGAACGACACACGACCGACCGCGTGGCCGAGCTGAGCCAGGACAAGAAGGACCTCGAGGTGCAAGTTGCGACGACGTTCAAGCTCGTGCGCGCGGCGGAGGCCTCGGAGAAGCTCCTCACGGACAAACTCCACGCGTTGGAAGCCGGCAAAGCCCAGCTCGAGGCGTCCATAGATACCAACTTTGTGTCGAGGGCACAGGTACCCATATCTTACCAGTGGAAAGTTAGTTGGTTGTGTTTAGTGCTGTTTTGTGTGTTGTCCAACCACACAGTAGTTTTCTGCTGCTGGTCGTGATGATGGTCTACAGCTAGGTAGGTCCTGAACGATGTATAGGTGGGCGAAATGGAATCGCTGTATGCTGACGCGATCGCCAAGCTGCAGCACCGCGTCGAGTCGCTCGAAACCAGCAAGAAGACGACGTCCGCCGCCGTCCCTGCGAGGCTACTGCCTCCCGTCAGAGACCATCCGACGGCCAAGTGCGCCGTCGTGGTGGATGGCTTGATCCCGAAGAAGGCAGTGCCACGCATAGGCCGCGTCGTGCCTGCCGGGCGGCGGTAGCAAAACTACTTGTCACAGATCATCACAATGAATGGCCAGAAGAACATTCATGGAATGCATGACGTTATCTCATTTTTCGTATGGGTTATTGATTGATGTTGTGAAACACATCGTTCACGTCTTCGTTGTCGCTCAATGCCTACGCCATACACACACAGGAATATGACTACATATACAGGAGATACATAGTACAGTTGCCTGGACGGTCGAATGTTATATAAGGAGCGCTTACATCTAGCAGCGCTTCAAACTCATCGGCAGCATCATCGGGCAAATCCACAAATTCCTACCAGTCATATCCAAAGGTAATATTCATAGATGTAGTCATGTCATGCAGTTTGGTACTGTACTAATACCTTTGGGTTGTAAATGATCGAGCATACATGGGGATGCAAGCCCAGCGTAACCAAATGATTGCGCACAATGGCCAAGTCGTTCATGTCACATGTGATCTGGACACACATGATTACGTCATACACGTTTGACCATGTCACATGTACAGTACCTGGGCCACAGCGTCTCGGAATTCCATGTCTTCTGCCCCTGCTTCAATCTGCATATTGCCATTGGGTTTATGCCATCATATATGATACATGTGAGCATTCGTACGGCAATGTTCAGCATGCTATCTTCGTCCCACGTCACCGCCTCGTCGTCAGGTTGCTTGACCTATTATTACGTCCAGTTCATTGAGTTGGTTTCGTATCGGGCGACTTGTACTAGTAGTGCTACTACTTTTACGTGGTAGGAGTACCTCGAGGTACCCCTTGCGCTCAAACATCCATGCCACCGACCCATTGGCACCCAACCCGCCGCCATGTTTGCCCAAGATATGACGCAGGGCCGGCGCCGTCCGCTTGCGGTTGTCCGTCAACGCTTCGATCTAGTGGAAGATGGTGTCAGAATGCAGAAAAGACGGCGCGATACGCAACGAACCATCAACGCACTGCCGCTAGGTCCCGTGGCTTCGTACAAGATGGTTTCCGTGACTGCGCCAGACTTTCCGTCCACGCCGCGCTTGATGGCGGCTTCAATGCGGTCGCGCGGCATGTTGAAAGTCTTGGCCTACTCGTATGATATAGTCGCATGCGCGAGCTGTCGGTGCATGTACCTTGATCACGACGGACGCGAGACGCTACAAACAACAACATGCATCATCATGATGGTGGTACACAAGATGAAGATAAACAATTAGAAGAAGTAAGTTCGTCGTACAATGTTGTTGACGTCGCCGTGGGTTGCTTTGGACGTCACGACGAGTTCCTTGGCCAGCTTGCCAATGAGAATTGCTTTTTTCTATCCAAAATGTCCACACATGTCCATGAAGGTGTGGACGTCGAAGGAAGGATGTACCGCATCGGTCGCGCTCTTCTTGCCAGCGATAGTTGGCGCGCGACCCATGAAGCGGCGCTGTTCAAAGCGGAGGGACGTGGCCACGAGTTGATGCAGCGGACGGCTGGCTTGCATGTGGACTTGCTGTACAATTCAAATGAGCCATCGATGACTAGTTATCCGGAGCAAATTGTCGTTTATCCGGTTATTTCGATCGTTTATTCAAGGAGACGCCGCTGACGACACCACGACACCTCATGGATGTCTCAACCCTCCAGGACCTCCTTCGAGATCCCACCAAGAAGCATATCGTAGACACTGTCGACGCGCTAGGGCTTGGATCTGCAGAGGTCGGGGCAAACTACCATGATGTATGCGTCCTTTATACTGAAGTCGATGGATAGGCGCAACACTTGAAGGCACCTCTCACATCTGTCGCGCTTGTACTTGAGCAACAGCATACGCTTTACATTGCACACGACACGACTGTCCCATGGGGAGTCCTCAAAGTCGGCAGGAAGCATCTCTTCTACTCCGTACGTCGTCGTTCCATGGGCACGTAATTCCTTATGACGTTGATAACGCCACCAAACAGAAACCCCGCGGTGGCTTCATCGAGATGGATCCATTGTGCGTGTTGGATTTCTACGTCCATCCAGATCGGCAGCGCCACGGCTTGGGCCTTCATTTGTTCACGTCAATGCTCGAGGTCCGTACATACATCGTCTCGTCCTTCTTCCAATCGTCATTGCTATATCTGTAGCGCGAATCGGTAGCGCCCCATCAACTCGCTTACGACCGGCCATCCCCAAAGCTCTTTCCCTTCCTTCGCAAACACTTCAAACTCGACTCATACGTGCCCCAGTCGAATCGGTTTGTCGTGTATGACGCCTACTTTTCTGCGTAATTCACAATCTCTCCACGATGACCAAGTCTCGAGGGTCATTGACATGCCATTCACGGTACAAACGGCCCTCTCGTTCCCTGCTATCCTCACAGGACCTTGGCTGCGATACTGTGTTCCTTTTGTTGGGGTACAGAAGACCAACAACTCACGGCGTCTCATGTATGGCTTACTGGGTGACTCACTGAGTCGTCGTCCGCCAACTATAGCCCAGCCACCGCCGCACCACATGATTATATGCGTATTTATTGATTTATATGCAAAAATAAACACTAGATCACATTTGGCTACACACTACTCATCGGTTTCACCCTCCACTGTAGAACGTATTTCGTTATATTAATAAAAACAAAAACAAATATGAAAAAATAGATAAAATTAATACCAACTACAAGAACGAATAATATGAGAGGATTTCATTATTTTTTTACAAAAAGTGTGTGTACAATTTAAAAACAAAGTGAAACACATGTACCCGCGAGATACGTAATGACATCGATCTTACCACGCACACGCGTTAGCTGTCGTCGTCTACTTCACCCCACGACACGACACGAGCGATGCGCTGACTTCTTCCACCAAAAGTAAATATAGGTGTTTCTATTCCTTGATAAATATTTT